TTATAAGGTCCGAAGTGTTAAAATCAAAATTTGGGATGGTCAAAAAACAAATTGAATTTATAACAAATTGAATTTAATGGGACTAAATTGAGAAAAATTTTCATATAAAATTTGAAGATCTTGTGGTATGTAGCTCCACCACTAGCTACTGCCTAGGGTTTCATCGGGAATGATTTTAACTGGATAGTTCCTCTGATGCCATTTTTTTATAACCAAGGGTATTCGAGTCAGCTTACCTATACCCCAATTAATCCATTGGGACCTTACAACTACCGGCTGAATAAGAGCTCCAATGGCTTCCCTTATTAGAAACCAGAGAGAGACTCGAACTCAGAACCTCTTGAGTAATATATCTAAGAGTTCCTATCAAATTAACCAGTCGACCACTTAGAGGTAGTTCTCTGATGCCATTTTGTAGTATGGAGTTTGAAAACTTTTTGCTTGCGCATGACTAGAAATAATTGCAATGAAATGGCGTAAAGAATTAAAGCTTTGTAGAGGATATTGAATATTTGAATTTGTGATCATTAATACCATAATTAAATTTGGAAACATTTCTCGGATAACTAGAAATATTGAAATGAAACGGAACTTTTATAAATTAATTGACCTAAGTTTTTGTGTGCAGTTGCTTGGTATTATTTGATAGATAGTTTTTTCTTTTTTTTTTCTCTTGTTTCAGTTTATTCTTTACTCAAGGAATGTGTTGGTAATACATACATATATAGATATATATAATAATGGACATTGATCCATTCACTCTCTCTCATAATTCATCGCACATTCAACTGGCCTTAGCGAGGATTAGCCACAGCCCCATTCCTACAGTTGAAATAAGATTGACCACGAGTTTTGCATGGAGCACTGTCGGCCGATAAGGCTGAATAACTGAGAAACGACGAACTACCTTCAAGCTGTCGACGTCCACTCCAAGACTCCATCAAATTCTCGTCACCGTACATATCCTTGGTGAAATGACCCCGGCTGGCTTCGTTGAAGGCAGTCGACTGGACCACCATCAGCACCGCCAAGAAGAGGAAGATCAACAAGAGCTTAGAACCCATGATTTTTCACAACTTAATAAATAAATTAAAAAAATGACTTTATTTTCCTCCTCTTCGTGAAAGGATAGGAAGAGAAGGATATACACAAATTATTAAGTAGTGAATAAAAGGTGGTGGATCTCATATCCTTCATATAAAAAAAAGAAAGGATTGAATTAGAAAATTGGATTATGTGGTTGTTAATTATTTGATTTAACGTAATTTTAGCTTCGCCGTTTCTTCCTCCTTGACTCAGTTTTTGCGGCCTAAGACAAAAATTAAAAAAAGATATAACATTATTAATTAAATTTTGTAAAACAAATTAAATATGTTAACTAAAATTCTATGACAAAAATATTTCATTAAAAAATTTCACTTAGTTTTACATTTTTATTATTATTTATGATAAAATTATCAAGAACTGCATTGCTATAATTAGTCTAATATTTTAGTTTTTTTTTTCTTTTTTAAGTTCTTCATTTCTGTATTTATAGTTTCTATTAAACATGCATAAAGTTAAAAAAAAAACCTATAAACTAATATGTAATACTTTAAACGCAAGAAAATAATGATAATATCAATTCAAAACCTATAAACTAATATGTCGATGCTTACCTAAAATATGTCCCAAACCATATGTGTGTTCACGGGTATATGTGCTAAGAATAAATTCTTGGGACTCCGCCAACCTTCTACAATAAACCCACCACTTGCACTTTCGGTCACGACATGCAACTATCACAATCGATGAATTTGACTTTTTGGTGATGAACTCAAAATTACCTCTCACGGCAACAAGTTTTAGCTTCCTCACCATTTCTTATTTGTTGTCAAATAAATACCCTATGCGCAATTCCGATCCATCCGTAAAAATATGAGCTGATTCACTTCTACCTGCAATTACCCTCTCTGAACCTGCATAAACGACCATAGTGTTCTCTTCCTCATAAACTACACCTTCTGCATAATCTGTATGTAAAGGAATCTCTACATCTACAGGAACATGTATGGGGTCCTCCTCCTCAACATTTTCATTTTGCCGCACATGACCAACTCTTCTACAGTGTCCTCCTCACCACCCAAATCACCGCCTACTCTTGATTTTTCAACTAACAAATCAACGCCTTTGTAGTTCAAATTAAAACCAGGCAAATCTCTGCCAACTTCCTCGTTATCCCCTTCCTTTGAACCAACTTCCAACGGTTTATCTACAAAAGAAACCCTTAAAATTGGTCTGAACCATTATCGGCCACATCAATCATTTATAGCTTCACACTTTCATCCAACTTTAATGTAGTCGGAGGTACCTTATAATGTTCAGGAACTCTGCTTAAAACATACTTCACAACTATATCGCTACGTGAGCAACTCAAATCATCTCTTCTAATTATTTCATCAATCAACTCATCAGAACTAACATCTGTGCTCACAACAATTGGTATAACTTCTTTGCTCTTCCCAATCCACTTTCAGCAACTTTCTTCCTCCACCCACTCACCAAAATATTTAACACCCAAAATAACTTGTCCCATGTCTAATAATAGCCAAGTACCAATAATGCAAGAAAAAAAATATTATTAACTGATTTATTAAGGGTTGAAAGATTTTAAAAAGCATCTGCACAGTCGCTTGAGGGATCTGCTGTATGCGTAAGCGATCTTGTATATCGTTTACTGGATCGCTTAAGCAATATAATGGATCACTTAAGCGATCTAGTATAAATAAGCCTGATCGCTTAAGCGATCATATGCCACTTACCTGATCGCTTAAGCGATCTGTTGCTATATACCAGACTTTTAGCAGATCGCTTAAGCGATCTACGAACTGCTGCACTATACCAGATCACTTAAGTGATACACTAGATCGCTTAAGCGATCCATCATATCCAGAACACATTTTCAGCCATCTCCACCTACAATCGGTGCTACCAACCCCAGCTACCCACAATGCAAGAAAATATTCAACAAATTTCACTCCTTTCAACTTCCATTACATCAAACACAACCCAACAACCTAAACAACTAAATCAAAATCATAACCCAAACCCAAACCCAATCCATCATTAAATCTTTGTAAATCGAAATATAAAATGGAAAGGGGAGATACACATACGTGGACGAAATGTCAAGAGGAGGAGGAGGATCTATGGCGAAGAAGATGTTAATGGCAGAGGAAGAAGATAGTGTTAATAGTGGGAAGAAGAAAATGTGTAGGACGGAGGAAGAAGAAGAAGAAGATGATGTAGACGAAGCTTACAACCAGGGGAGGGATCCGTTAATGTGGCGGGAGGAGGACGAAGAAGGTGTTGGGTTTGTTTGCAAGAATTTCGGTTCTTTGGGGACATATTAAAATTTTTAAAATATTACACAATACTTTATTAATCCTAATTAACCCCTAATCATGTTTAATTAACCTTAATAAAAAACAAGGCTATTTACTTAACACTTTCAAACTACATGGCCTTTTAATTAAATTTGAACTCTATATGGTCTTTTAATAAAATGCCCCCCTCTTTGACTCCTTAATTTTGTTTTCAGTGCCATCTCAATTAGTCTTGTTGTTGGTGCCATCTCAAGGATATTTTTAGCCTAAGACCAAAATAAAAAATAGGCATATTATCTATATTAAATAAATTTACTATTATTAATTAAATTTGTTAACTAAAATTCTATAACAAAAATATTTCATTCAAAGATTCCTCTCAATTTTAAATTTGAATTATTATTTATGATAAAATTATCTAGAACTTCATTGTATAATTAAACCAATATTTTAGTCTTTTTTTTTTTTTTTTCTCTTTTTAAGTTCTTCATTTCTGTATTTATAATTTATATTGAACATGCATAAAGTTAAAAAAAAAAAAAAAATTGTATAAACAAATATTGATGATAACAAATCAAAAGAACTGATTAACGAAAAACGAAATTGTAGAAAGCAATAGAATTTAGAATTCTTTGAAGCCCAAATAATGAAAAAAAAATTAAGAATTTAATGTAAAATATTGATGGAAAAAGATTTGGTCTTGTATAAAAAAAATATATTAAACTTAATATATCTTAATAAATATAATAATGATTTTAATAGAAATGATTAGAAAGAAATTTGATTATACCGGTATTTAGCTGTGGATAGTGATGAAATTATTTTATGTCTAAGATCTTAAAAGATTAATTAAAATACGCATAAACTAGTTAGAGAACTAATTATAATAAATAATAAAAAAAAAAAAATTATGCCAATTATAGTTAGATGTGGACTTTGATTCCGCCTAGTTTTGTTTTAACCAATCCAGGCATCCTCAATAGTTGGTAGACCGCCACCGACAATCAACAATCGCTAGTGGTGATGGTGCTACAGTATCTTTTGAAAATTTTATTTAAATGAATTCGATTTAATTAATTTAAAGTACTAAAATATAAGTATTTTTGTGATGGTATATTTCAGAATCTAACGTAAGGAATAATCTTAGGTAGTTCTTGAAAATCCTTTATAAACCCAATTATTTTAGAATCAGTTTAAATTTAAATAATTCCAAAAGCAATGTTTATCAAACACTTTAAGATTGAATTCATTGTTTTGGTGACTAAATTAGTTTTGCAATTGCTATAATTTGTATGTAAGAAAGCTCTTAGAGGATGGATTTAATTTTAATCATATCAAATACATCCACCCGGTTATGGAATGGTTTAGGATCAGTTTCGGGTTACTATAACTTCTCTTATAATCATTTTTTTTTTAAGCAATGATACAAAACGATTACGGAATAATCTACTTCTATAATTTATTTATTGAAGGATGTATCTCCAGTTTTTAGAATTCAAAATTAGCTTTTAGAAAAGTCATTTACCAGAATGCCTCAAGAATATATTAAACAGAAATTCTAATTTTATTCAATATAAAACTAGATTAAAAAATTAAAAAACCGAAAATACAAAAACTGGCAAGTGCCGATGATAATTATGTAAAAAGAGTTGACGCACAATCAGTAATGGAGCTGCAACCATGCATGGCGGTAAGGATTAGCAGCCCAGTCTCGCAATTGTAATAAGATATACCGCGATTGTTGATTGGAACCTTGTCCGCCGTTAGGGCTGCATAACTGATGGTCTCACTATCTTCGAGCTGTCGACGCCCACTCCATGACTCCATCATATTCTTGTCACCATACATCTCCTCTTCAACGCCAAGGTTGCTGAAACGACCCCAGTTGGCTTCGTCAAAGGCGGTCGACTGGACCATCATGAGCACCGCCGAGAGGAGGAAGATCAACGAGAGCATAAAACCCATGATTTTTCACAACTTAAAAGTAATTTAAAAAAAAAATGAAAATATTAATGTGCGTTCGTTTCCTCCTCTTCCTGATATAAGGGTGGTGGATCTTGAATTTTCGTATAAAACAGAAAGGTTTGAATCTGAAAATTTGATTATTTGTTGTTAATTATCTGATTTAACATAATTATAGGTTGCCCTTTTCTTCCTCCTTGACTCCTTTTTATTTATCAGTTTTGTAACAATCCCCAAGAATTAGGGTCTTCTCCTCTCTTTGTATATTTATAAGCGTTTATGATTAAGGTTTATTTTCTCTTTTTTATTTTTATTACTAACTACTAGTCACAAATAATGTATTTTGTTACGAGGACTAGTTTATAAAATGGGAACTTTGTTCTTTGGAACGGAATTATTGGGTAGAGCATTGTTTTAAAACCTAACCCATTTTAAGACCCAACAAAGTGACCAGATCGTGGGTCGACCGGTCCAACCAATCGATCGAACCGGTTGGACCGGTGACTTCAACAATAAAAATACTTTTAAAAAACTAAAATTTAGTCTCTTAAATTTTAATATATTATAAAATACCCCTACAAAATTGCAATTAGGCTTTGAAATTTTAATTTATTTCAAAATACCAATTAGTCCCTAAAATTTTGAAATATTCAACAAGACCCGTAAAAAGTTGAAGGAGTCCCTACACTTTGAAAAATATCAGAAACCCCCCTAAAACAATGGAACCTGAACCGGACCGGAGAAACAGTCGGGTCCCGATCCGACTGGCCGGTCTAGTCCATGTTTTAAAACAATGGTGTAGAGTAGGTTGTCTAATCCAATAACGAATTGGGTTAAAATGATTTTGGATTTCTTGTAATCTTTTTTTATTTTTTTTAATGAACAAGGGTGTCCGGGTCAGCTTATATGTACCTCAACTAATCCCCTAGAACCTTGGAACTACCAACTGGATAAGAACTATAGTGGCTATATCCTTATTAGAAACCGATGAAGAATTTGAATTTAGAATCACTTGAGTAATACACCCAAAAGTCTCTATCGAACCCATCAATTTCTTGTAACGTTGTTCGACCAAGACTCTCTAATTTTTTAGGCATGTGTTGTAAATTGTTTTAAAAGGTTGAGAAGTCAGCATCAAATTAAGCAGCACTCACTTTTGTATTACGTAAGAAGTTGTTTTTGGACCCGCATTCACAGCTTCAAAATTGAGATAAACATTAACAAAGAGATGATGAATAATGGATTCCCACTACTGATATTTGTCAAACACATCTTTCTTTTCACTTTCCTAATACTTTAATCATTATTGATATTTGTTTGAATGGTGACTTAAGTATGAGGTTTTGCTATTAGATTTTTCCCTTAAATATCCAACCCGAACCAGAAGTTAACTTGAGTTCATATATAGTAAGGACGGTGAATGAAGGGTCCCTCTCCCTCGAGTCTAAATACTTAAAATATTTAAAGCTTATCCATCTTCCCATATTAATGGGGTAGACCCCAAGACTGACTCCGCGTGGTGGAGAACTTTTTAGTATTCTATTCTCTATTTTATTCAAAATACATATTTATTCTCTTATTCTTAAAATATTATTCTATATTATTCAATTTCTTTTAAACCTCCTAAATTTGTTAATTTAACTAAACGCTCCAAAAAAAAAGTTTTAGAAATTGACAAAAACACTTCAGTAACCCACATTTACCAGATTCTAGCCACCACCGTCGGAAGCTGACCGGAATCTGGTATAATAGCGCACTACCAACTAGATCTGGCAGATAGTGTGCTGAAAAAGACCAGATCTACGGCCAAAGATCTAGTCGTCAATAGCCAAATCTTTGGCCAAAGCCAATCGTCAACGAATGGCCAAGATATGGCCGTCATTGACAACCAAATGTGGCCAGATATGGCCATCAATGGCCAAATCTAACCATAAATCTGGTATTTTCCAGCTAGATCTTCTGTGGATCTAGCCAAAAAATGTCATATCGGCGGACAATCAGCTAGATCCAGTCGGTCGTGCACCGATACGACGACTCTGGCCATCCTCTGGCGGTGGTAGCCAGTTGTCCGTATTTAATGGGTGGGTTGGAGGTGTTTTTGTTAATTTTTAATATTTTATTATAGGGGTGTTTAATAAATAAACAAACATAGGGGGATATTTTTATTTATTTTCAAATCTTACATCATAATACCCACCAAATTTTACTTTTTTCAAAATATTATTCTAAAAAGTATCAAAATAATAAACCAAACGGACCTATACTTCTGCAAATCAATTATACACAACTCACAACTATAAATTACTTAATATAATCTCCAACTCAATATTTTCCAACCTAATGAAATTGACTTTTATTTAATACTATATAATATATACATTGGTTGCGCTCAGGCTCATTTCTATAAGTCGTCCCTCCTCGATCTCATGCCCACCTAAATTTAATTATCTCTAGAATTCCATAACTTTATCAACCATTTGTTACGTTCTTCTTCCTCCATCCTTACCAAAATCTATTCACAAATTAGAAAATCAAAATTTTGTTAAAAATATTTTTCCTTTCATATCATGGACAGACTTATAAAGATGCGACTGGGGGCAGGTGACCCCACTCGTGTTTTATTTTTTATTTTTATAATAATTTCCCTTATGCTTGTCTTTTTTTTTTTTCCACCCTGATTTGATATAATTTACTTTTCAAACTAACCTCATTCATCTAAAAGTATAAATTTCCTATTGTTTGTTTAAAAATATAATATTCATTAATTAAATGTATTTATATTGTTTTATCAATTAGAAGTTAACTAGAGAGTAAACTAAAAAAAAAAAAAGGTAAATAAAATATTTCTGGCCCCCTTTACATTAAGTTTATATTATTATTTGACATCAAATTTAAGTTGGTCCTTATTTGTTTTTCATTTAGAAGTAATTTTCAAAAACTAAAACATAAGTTGTATGGGTGATATGTAGAGAAATAATATGAAATGAACCACACTAGGGGACCAAGGGGGTCAACCAGTGTAATAATCCCACATAAAGCATATTGGGAAGAACTTAGGCTTACAAATGGGAGAGTCTCTTCACCTAATAGGTTAGCTCTTGATGTGAAACTTTACCCATACACTAGGACTTTGGATATATTATCAAAAGTCTTGAGTTCGATCTATCTCGACTAAAATAGAGATGGCACTAGAGACTTACCGATTGTTAACACTATAATTGAGATGCGATACCTCCCATCATTAAAGATTATAATAATAAGGGAGAACGACTTACACATACCCAAGGTTTGCCGAAACGACAAGTTGATACCCACAAAGATTTTGAAAACGACAAATAGGTACCTTTTGTCATGTTCTGTTAGTGATTTTTGTTTGATAATAGTGAAAAGACTAAAATGCCCTTGAAAGTTAATATTTTAGTTTTCTTAAATTTAAAATTTCTAAAAGCCCCCCAGGTTTGCTAATTTGACTAAACCCCAATATATATAAATTTTATAAAAATAACAAAACACCCCCGCAACCCACAGTGCCAGATTCTGGCCACCACTGTCGGAATCTGGCCGAAAAATTGCATTACGACACAGACCCATCGGATTTGTGTCGTAAAACGCGTCGATCTGGCTTCGGCATCGAGGCCAGACTCAGCTGCACAAAATACCAGATCGACGTGTTACGACACAGATCTGAGGGGTCTGTGTCGTAACTCAATTTTCCGGCAAGATTTCGGCCTCGACGGCCAGATCTCGCCGTAGATCTGGCCTTTTCCGGCCAGATCAGCCACGGATCTTGCCGAAAAATGCCAGATCTACGCGTTACGACATAGATCCGACGGGTCTGTGTCGTAACGCAAGATTCCGGTCAGATTCCAACGGTGGTGGTCGGAATCTGGCACTGCGGGTGACAGGGGTGTTTTTGTCATTTTATAAAAATTTTATATATTAGGGTATTTAGTTAAATTAGCAAACCTAGGGGGTTTTTTAGAAATTTTTAAATTTATAAAAAACCAAAATATTAAACTTTCAAGGGCATTTTAGTCTTTTTACTATTATCAAACGAAAATCACTAATAGAACATGACGGAAGGTACCTATTTATCATTTCAAAACTTTTTAGATACCAATTTATCGTTTTAGCAAACCTTGGGTATGCATAAGTCGTTCGGAATAATAAGAATAATAATAATAATAATAATAAATGAGGGTATGAATTGGGTTGAAATAGTTCAAATCAGAAACCTAACCAACATCAACAAATAGACCCATGTGCAGGCTTTATTTAATACGCTATTGAAGTATTGATTACTTTTATTCTTCACCCTTGGCATTGTATTCAGTATTCACATCACATTTGTTAAAGTATCATTTTCAATCCATGCATCAATTGGTCTTCGTTGAGGGACCCAGGAGTCGTGCATTACACGACATGTACTGTTCAGCGCCCCTCCCTTTTCCACATCGAACCCCAAGGTCCAACACTATCTCACTCATTTATCCAGTACCATTTTCAAATAGTCTTTAAAAATAATTTATGAAGTATTTGTTTTGTTTAATTTTAAAATCGCTTTCGATTTTACCAAATAAGATATAAAACCAAAATAAAATGCCGCTATATTGCTTAATATCATTGACATTATTACATAGATTGTCGCTCGACGAGTATAATATTGTTGACAATGTAGATCCACTCAATTACTTTGGGTTGCATTTGTAATTAACTCCCCTAGAAACAACCTTTGTATTCTAAAGGCTAAAAATGCTATTTTTGAAGTTTTTCAAGAAAATAGATTATGTAACAATCTACTCTTTTATAATAATTTTTTAAATATTTTAATCTAACACATTTGAGATTATAGCTCATGAAATAAGTGATTATGAAGAAGCTATATTAACCCCAAACTCACCCTATATATACTGTATATTTGCCACATATCTATCTATGTAGTAGTAGTGGTGAGTGGTTTTTTCCTTCGTTTACCCTGCATTTTTTAAAGGAATTATAACTATAACCTGAATCGGCCGTTTCTGGTGTTTTGTAATCGAAACCTGAAACATAGGTTTTGGTTCTGATTCTAGGTACTCAGGTTAATTTCAATTATCCCTATTTTTAAAAAATGACAAATATACTTCCAATAGTTTGCAAAAATTACAATTTAGTCTTAGTTCCTATCTAGGTACTCAATTTTGATTATGTTTCTCGATTCCAACACTGCACGAATTGGAATCAGACCTAGGAATTTCCTATTCCAATTTTCCATAACCGGTGGGTTGGTTGCTTCCTGTTACAGTCCTACCCTTTACCCATGCTCACCCCTATGTTGTAGAATGTAACACTCATCAACCAAATTTATTTGTAGGTATTGTGCACTGTAATTATTTGTTCATATTGATATGAATATCCAGATTTAGACTTTATAAGCATATGATAGTTACAAGACCCTTCAACCACCCACAAAACCAGCCACTTCAATCAGTACATATGTGAACGTGCGGCTAAGTCCTCGTTTATTTTGGTGGAAAAATACCAAACACCAAACAAACCCCTTTTATTAAATTCCTCTAATGTCAAATATAATTGACAAAAATCTTTAATAAACCCATAATCTATTCACATAGTATTATAATAACGCAGGTTTATGACTAAAAATAGTATGTTCATAAAGTTGAACATAAGAGACAAAAAGGATGGGGTTAGCTTAAATTGCAAGGGATCCTCCTCACTCAAGTCTTACGGAAAACAGAAGATCATTTACTTTTTAATTTAAATTTATTCCTCCCTTTATGATTAATTTGAAATAATTATAAATTACAGAAAAAACAAACAAATTGGTTAGATAGTTTTTTTGGTCTTGAGTCTCAGCATTAGCCACCTTTTACTTTGTCTGTTTCACAGCTGAGCACAGTACAGGTGTCTTTATACGTCTTTCTTTCTCTCTTCTTCTCTCTCTCTCTCTCTCTCTCTCTCTCTCTCTTATTGGTGTTCTTTTGTTTGGATAGTTTTCTTCAGGCTGCTTCACACTCTCGCTGTAAGTTGCTAACTTTGTTGTTTTTGTTTCTCTGTTTTTTTGAGGTGATCTTTTTCCTTCAATTTTCTTCTCCAATTCTGTGATCTCTTGGGTCCGTTGATTCTGCCTTTGTTGCTCAATTTGACACGTTCTTTTTGTTTCAGTGTTGCTATTGGTTGTGAAGGGTTTTGTTTATTTGTTTACTTCAACTTCTATGTGGTGATTTTCATGTTTTAGTAAACTTCTTTACTTTTACTTCATGTGGGTTTCATCATTATTTTTTCTTTTCTACCTAAATTGTTTTCGTGTTTGTCTCATGGCTTTTTCTTTGTTGGATTCGTATCTGGGTGGTGGAAAATATGTTTTCTGTTTAATTAATTTTGATTACTCAAAGTCAAACTACCCTATTTCTGTATGTTTTTGAAGTAAGTTTTTACTGTTTACATTCTTCAGTCATCGTCTTCCAGGAAAATTTTATGCTTCGTAAAGCTTAAATTCTCTCAGGGTTCTGGCCATTCGCGGGATAATTTCGTAGAATTGAGTTGATAGTAGTTACTCACTGAATTGTGGGGTTTATGTGTTTTGTTGTTATTAACTCTGGATCGACTCCGAAATTAGGCCCTTTTCTGAGGTTTCCTCTGTCGTTGATATATCTGTAAAATGACTTCCTTTATGTGCTTTCAATGCTGGATGTGCTTGATGCTATTAATTGTTTGAATGGGTTTAGATGCTCTTTAGGAAAAAACAATTCGTTCCTTTGTGTTTAACTAAGAAACTGAGCGTGTCCGATTTGCTACTGAATTTTTCAATTGCTATGGTTGTGATGTGAGAAAGCTTTCTGGAGAATGGATTTATGATCATGAATAACATTTAATGTTAATCAGAGCAAATTCTTTTAACCAGATAGTTTCTCTGCTGTCATTGTTGCTTGAATTTTGCTTGTGCATGACGAGAATTGCAATGAAATTGAACTTTTAAATATACATAAAAAGAAAAATCAAATCTAGCTATTCATGTTCTTCAGCTTTTTTAAGTTGTGAATTGGTTTAATCTCTTTCATTGCTTAGTGGGTTGCATCATTAATTCACAGGCCAAATTTGCAATGAACGTCAACATTCTATGCTGAGAAGGAAGAATAGCTTTGAAGAAGTTTCCACCTGTAATCATGAGCGGCAATTCACCTGTTTCCCTTAAATATCGGAAAGGAAAACCCAATGTACTTGTTGAGGTAAGTTTTTCTCTGCAGTTGCTTGTGATTGTTTGATAGAAAGTTTTTTCTTGTTTCAGTTTATTCTTGACTCTAGTAATGTGTTGATTTCAGGTTGCTAATACAGAGAAACAGTTATGGACATTGATCCTTTTCAAAGGTTTATTGTGCTCAGATGTTCAAGAGTTGTACCGCAAAGTCTGCTCAAGTTATGAGAAAATTGTACTGAATGATTATGATCAGGCAGAGCTTCAGGATGTTGAATTTTCTCTCTGGAAGCTTCATTATAAGCACATTGATGAATTTCGCAAAAGAATAAAGAAAAGTTCTGGTAATTCAGATAATACAACATTTGCAGTGCTGCAAAGTGGTGCAAACCTGCAGAAAAGCAATGACAATCATATAGAAGGATTCAAATCATTTTTGTTGGAAGCAATTGAATTTTATCAAAATCTGATAGTAAAAATTAGAAGATGCTGTGGGCTCCCAGAAGAATATTCCTTCTTTAGAAAAGATGGCATCTCCATGACTGTTGAACCAAAAAAAATGCAGAAATGCCAATTTTTATGCCATCGCTTTTTAGTTTGTCTTGGGGATCTTGCTAGGTACAAAGAGCAGTATGAAAAATTTGGTTCAGAGGATCACAACTGGTCAGTTGCAGCCACCTATTATTTGGAAGCTACAATGATTTGGCCAGATAGTGGAAACCCCCAAAATCAGGTATTTCACTTTCTTTTTTGGACTTGGGGTCTGTGTTGCTATATAAAGTTTACATTTATGATTATACAATGCTACTAATTCAGCTAAATTGGTAATCGTGTTCATCTGTAGTTGGCAGTATTGGCAACTTATGTTGGTGATGAGTTCCTTGCTTTGTATCACTGCATAAGAAGTTTAGCTGTTAAAGAGCCTTTTCCTGATGCGCATAATAATCTCATTTTATTGTTTGAAAGAGTAAGACTTCATCTTTTTTCCTGTTTCTCCTAAATAGATTTTATCGTTCTTCATATTAATTTCTATTGTCAGTTGTTGGCAGTTCTCAAGTGCTTCTTATGGTATTACAGAATAGGTCATTATATTTGCATTCCCTTTCTCGAGAGGCCTGCTTTGATTTCTTAAAACCATCTGAAAGAAGCAGTTGTCAGATTAAGTCACAATCGAGTAGTGATGTTTCAAATTGCAATATGTTGAAAGCTGACAATATTTGCTCTGTGGAAACAACTTTGTGGTCACTTATCATCAGAACAATGAGTTTCTTTTTCATAAAATCCAGGTAATCCTTGAAGCAGCTTTATTTCAACCAACAGTTTTAGTTCATTTTAAATTCACTAGTATGATTGCGATTTATATACTTTCCTTAGTTGCATATATAACTATATATGAATGATCTTGTACTGAATTTTGCTCTATTGTATTGATTTTTACCCATTTTGATATACATAATTTCATATAATTGTACCTCTGATCTTATCTTTGTCCACAATCCAAATTATATCATCCTAACCTGCATTAAGCGAATGATGAATGTATTTCATGTTGAAAAGATGTGAATATAGGCACTTTGGTCTTGAGATGTCGCAAGAATCAACTCTCCCCAATTGTTGATTTGATCTCTCCTTATTGCATGTCCATTTCCATTTGGTTCAAAATCTATCCCTAGACCTTTGATGATTTTGCTGATTTGTGATTTTAAATGGTCATAGGGCTTTAACAATTATTATGAGATGATTCAATCTTATAGTGGTACCATCATTCATGAAGAGTGTGTAAAATCATCCCATAATAAAATTAGCCTTTAAATTCTTAAATGTATATAAACCGTTCAGTTACATAGAAATTATCTTCAAATCAAAATACCATAAGTTGTCGTTGAGTCAATTTTTTACAACAAAGTAAGGGTGTTTTCTTCCCATAATTTTTCAGCTGCAGTGGATTTGAGACATTTGTTTTCCTCCTCAAAACAGCAAAAGTGTAACATAAGGAGTACTACTGTCTGTTGTCCTTTTGGCAATATACATGGGCATGCTTCCTACATATAATTTTTTGGCTCTTTCTATATGTCTATCAGTATCTTTTCAGTAAAAAGTTTGTTGCTAGAGAATATAAAAATGGTTTTTCTCTTTTATTCATTCTTTTATAATGGTCAGCCTTATAACACTAGATAGAACTTTAATTTCATAGAATATGCTCATGAGTGATACTTAAAGCATTTATAAGAAAAACAAATGTATATAAAACCCATGATAGAAGGATTAGCGGTAGTTTTTTGTTTAGCATTTGTTACATATATCACAGTGCTTGTTCACAAAAAACACATGCTTTAATTGAGATTGAAGGATTTGTAAATGATAATCCAGGAATCATTCAACTGGCTGAAGTCACAACCTTGGAAAAGCAGAAGCATTACCTAAAACAAACATAATGGCAAAATGCACTGTAGTTGTTCATACAAGTCAAATCGTGCTTAGTACTTATCTTAAGCTACTATGCATCGCTTTTCATAGACATTCTTTTCAAATCCCTTCATGAGCATATGAGACATCCAAAATACAACAATATTGGATGCTAAAGCTTGTAATATTCACATTCCTCTTGCACTTTCTTTTTGATGTTTTCTGCCTTTTTTTTTAATGTGATGCAGTTTGGAGGACTTCCCTTGTGCTTTTGCTTCTACGATGAGAGAGCTGGACTCCATTCTGGAACTAGATGATACAAAACTAGTAGCCATGCTGGCGTCCTATGAGCTTATGGGTTCAGCTAGAGCGGGCCCTTTTAGAGCCCTTCAAGTTGTTCCTATATTTATGTTTGTTGTGCAGAAGGTAATCAGTAGCAGTGGAACAAAACTATTGGAAGACAAAAATGATTTAAAGGAGCTTGAGTTGACAAGATTTGCATTGACTGTGACATTCATTTTCATGGGGCGCCTAGTTGATAGGTGTTTGAAGTCAAATCCGTTGGTTTCTTGCCCCCTTCTACCTGCTGTACTTGTTTTTGTGGAGTGGTTGGTGGGCATGCTTGATGAAGTAGAAGCACATGAGACTGATGATAAAGTTTACAGTGCTATGTCTTACTTTTTTGGTGCTTTAATTGCACTTCTAAAGAAGTTAGATTTTAGAGGCGAAGTCTCAAATCCTGAGAGGACTGCTCTGTGGGAAGACTATGAGTTGAGGGGCTTTGCACCACTATCTTGTTCTCATGTCTCATTAGATTTCTCAACTCATTATGAATGTGTACAGAGTTTTGAAAGTGGAACTAAATGTCGTGCTGACCGCATAATTAATGCTGCAATTAAGATTGCAGACAGATCAAATGGTTCTCAAAGGTGGATAATCTATGACAAAGCAGAAACAAAATTCTATGCGGCAGATTCAAATGTAAACTCAGACAGGAGAAAATCAGAAGCAGAGTTGACCACTGATCTTAAAGTGAAAGAGCCCCAGTGTACATCTGATTCCACAGAGGATTGTGATAAACAAAGCCCTGGGGAAAACGCGAGTAGCCTTTCTGTATATAACAAATCCGTTGCTGTGGAAGAGGAAGAAGTCATTGTTTTCAAACCTCTTACAAGATATAATTCTGCACCACTCTATCCTTCTATCTATAAAAAAGAGTTGGAGTCTCCAAAGGACATAGAGGAGCAGACTGTATCTCCTGATGACTGCTTGCGTCGTGCCACATCTTTGCTTATAGCACAAAACCAGAAGCAAGGTGATCCTTCAGAGTTTCATTCTGACATCACTAATTTCAGGCCCAGCAAACCATTTAAGCAGCCGGAGTCTCCTCTTGTAAAGGAAACTGGAACACACTCATTTTTTCAAACCCCTGTCTCTGCTGGGCCTCCCTCCCTCAGTGCTTGGGTCTTTGATAGAGGAATTGTCGATAATGATAAGGAAAAAGGGAGAAGTGATATAACTAAACCTGTCTTGAGCCCTATAGATGAAATAGCTTCTACTTCTTTATCTGGTCTTTCCATCAGAGGAAACGAAGATTCGGTCATTGGTTCTAGGCAAGATTATGCAAGCAGCCATTACTCATCTCCTTATTCAGCTCCATTGCCTTCTGCCCCGTTATTGCCTGACAATGCTGCTTGGTTTGATGCTGTTCAACCTAGTTTTTCCAACTTCAATAACACAGGGAGCAACAATAGAATAGGTTCCCATGCTGATGCATTACAGTTAAGCAGCTATCCAACTTGGGGTGCTACTCCTGGTCCACCTGATTATGGTTCTGCCATTCCTGGTTTCATGGATGGATACCCTCCATTCCGTGGAATGTCTTCTTCTGAATGGCTTCGTCAGTACAGAGAAAATCAAAATCTTGATAGGGCCAATAGCCATTCATGGCCTCTTCATTTTTATGCTCCCAGGAACTCTGGCAACTTCCATGGTCAAGATGCTTCCTGGTTCGATCCTTCTAATCAGTGGCTAGCTCCTTTGGCTTCGAACCAAATGGTTTATACTGAGAGCACACCGTTGCATCCAGGGTTGCCCCAAGTTCATGATGCAGATGAACACAGAAGGGATAAGCTGTTTCATGGTTACCAAAGACCACCTCCTTATGGTTGTGGTGTTGCAACAGACTTCAGAGACGAGCCACAGCCGCTTTTGCAGTATCTGAAAGAGAAAGAATGGTTACTCCATAGGGACCCAACCCTGAGAGGTCCATATATGGGAAACTGAAATTTCTACACATGTTGATATGAGCAGACTACTGGTATAGTAAGTCAACTTGAAGAAGTTAACGAGGCTGTATGAATATGAACTATATTGTGAATATTTATGCTGTACTTTGATATCTAAAATAGGTATTACATTAAAGAATGTTTGTAGAGAAAATCTTACTCCCCACCACATATCATGTAGATGATTTTGTATAACATTTGTACTCTTCACTGTTCAGATATGATTTTCTCCATCCTTGTGTGTAAGAATTTACACTTGCTTCGTTTATAGAAAGTCTGGTCAAGCATACATTTATTTTCCCCTATAATTGCTTTGAAGAAAATTTTGTGAAATAATAACCGTGTTGGAGAAGAAAATCCCATATTTTCATAATTTTCTTCAGTACCCCCAACCCCAACTTATTTTTTGTGTCCTAGATCAATTAGAAAATTATTTTTGAAAATTTCTTTCATCTTCCATAATTAATAGTATTGACTCATTACAGTAGTACATGAGTAATTGGCTGATTTCATGCTCTTGTTGCTTCTTTTAACTTCAATTTTGTTTTGACTTTATGTGTTTAATCTTGAACTCTTATTACAACTTTATCAAGACAATTCTTAGAGAAAAAAAGTTGTTGTGCGATAAATCGGGAAAGGATGATTTCCAATTTGGCTATGAGATATCACGTGATAAGGTCTCCGTAAAATCAAGTCAATTTTTTATTTCTTTGAATTTGTATTTATTTCCAATTCAAACTTATAATCGGTGACAAAACACGAGTCACTACACCTTACACATAAAAAGAAATATCTACTCTTATAGAGATTGAGAGAAGAGACAACTTGAGGGATTCTTTGAGATAACTCTTCGTAACTCTGCTCGTTGTTCTAAAAAACTCTCAATAACATAACAATGGATATAAGATTTGCATTATAAGTATCCGAACCACTTTAAAAATCTTTTTTTTGCTCTTTGTGTTTGGCGTTTAATTGTTGTTCATACATAATCACTTTGTCAAATCGTTGATCCATCAGGATTACATAAATGTACTGACGTAATTCTAACGCTGTCAATCACGTACCTCTCATTGTTACGATTTCTTGTATCAACAAAAAATAATTTTCTTTTTATTAAACTTGAAAGGCTAAGTTATGTAATTTTTTTGCTTTTCTAGGTTTTTGCAATGTTGGAACTTGGAAGTACTATTTTTCTCTTAAAATTGTATTTATTTTTCTTAAGGTTTTATTTCTCATATTTTTTTTTTAGATTTACATATCATTCCTTACAACCCTGATGTTTGACTTACTTTAATTTTATTTAATTCATTTCTAAATTAAAATGATTCAATCAATCTAAAACAGATGCCTTTGTATAAGATTTTGTAGATGTAGTGTTTTTTAATTAATGTTTAAAGTTAAATTAATCTTAAAATTATATTTTTTTATTTTTAGTTTTAAAAACTTAAATTTGTATTATATTTACTAAAATCAAGGATAATAAAATCCTAAAACAACCTTCGATTGGGCCGTGAACGCCAACATCTTGGCTCAATTTGCGGCCCAATTATACTCCATCTTTCTTCCTCTTCTTCTGCTCTGTGTTTGTCTCGCAAGTGCTGTAACTCCTTATCTGAAAAGGCAAAAATGGAGAAGGAACAATCCGAGAAAACAGATTATTCATCAGCAGAAGCGGTGTTACTAGGAGCTCTTGCTCCTGGTGTTAACGTTCGTGCCATTATAATTAATCTCTTATTAACGATATTTTCTTTCCTGGGTAATTGTTAATCAATCTTTCTTCTTGTTGTTGATTTGATTTCAGGTTCCAACATGGACTATTCTAAAATCAGCGTTTTTGATGCTGGGTTTGTGTCTGTTTGTCATGTTGGGCTTAGCATTCTCTTCAAGTGACTCTTCATTGTTACTTCATGTTGGGTTTCTTGTTCTAATTGCTGCCTCCCTCTTCTTCCTTCTTAGCTGGTACATTTCACCTCTTTCTTATAAAGTCTCATACTTTGAATTTCACTTGTTTGTTTGTGCTTTTGCTTTCAGTGAACTTGCATTTTTGTTATCAGTTGCTCCTTTTTTTTCCAGCTTCTCTGAGTTTTATATCATGTGAAGATGATTCTTTTTTTATATATGTTTTTTATCATGTATGTTCTCTTACGCAATACGTTATGTTCCTTAAAGTAGTTCTAATATTTTGAGGGTGGAGTGGAGTATGATCAAGCATGATTAGGCTTGTGGTAATTTTATGGCAAGTTTGATTTTGAAAAGATAGATTGTTCAGTAGGAGAAATATCAATGAGGGATTGTCTTCTAGGTATCTTTTGGGGGTGATTGAATTAGGATTTATAGTCTAGAATCAGAATAGCAACCATTAATATCAGGCTGCAGAAGCATAATTTGGTTTCACATGTAGGTCATATGATTGCCTACATCTTTTTAAGGCTTGCGATGTTCTGAGTACCATAATATTTATCAAAGATTCAAAGTGTTTCAGACATGTTAATTGAACGGTTTTGGCCTAACTAAGTAGTTTGATCCTAGCCCATACAATTTTGCTTTTTAGGCTTTACATAAGCTGTCTTTTACCTAAATGCAGCTGGAGACCTAAGGGCTAAGGTTTATAAACTGATCCAGACTGTCATTCCTAGCAATATGGGATTTGACAAAATGATGTGCCCTCTGTCTGAATCTTGTCACAAAAGTAGTGTAATATGTTGTAGTACCTGTATACAACCAAACCAATTGCCGTATGTTCTTTTGCAAGGGGTGCTGCTCCATGAATATATGCTTGGCTTTATAGTCCATTCATTTCTTATATGCTAAATGAGTTGATTTTTACCATTAGAATTATGTGGATTCTTTCGGAAATATTACATCAAACAAGCTTTCTTTCTAGTAGACTTCAACTTTAAAATTTTGTGGCTTCTTTATGTAAATCAGCAGTTATGCAGGCTGTTATCAAAACCTTTCTTCTATCTTGTGCAGTCAACTTCTAGCATTGTTAGAGAAGGAAAATACCAATTTTTACATCTCATGAAAGCTGTTATTAGCGGTATATAATTCCAAATTAAAACATTTTTTGTGCTCCTTTCCTCCCTCTTGCATTCTAATGATTTTTCCCTTTATTTATTTGCTTCTAGATCAAGAGTACAAACCTGCATACATCATTTGTCTTTGTAGGCTTTGGGACTGCATTTTTATGTGTAAATAACTGTCATAAGAAGTTTATAAACTCCAGATTAAAACAGTTTTGTGATCCTTTACTCCTCTCTAATTATTTTTGCCTTGGTCTGTTTTTAATTTCTTTCTGGCTCCAGAGGATAAACCGTCATACATACTGTGTCCCTGTAGCCTTTGACACTGCTTATGATTTCCTTAGACAGTGTTGTCTAATCAGTGCGTATATGCTAGTGGCTCAAAGTGTGTTCTGGGGACTAGATTCTGTTTTCTTATACTTGATGGCTCCTGGAGCAGTCCTAGCCTTCTAGGACCAACTAGCTGATCTTAGAATAGATATCTTTGCCTGCCTTTTGTATATATGGGTTTTCACTATTCATGGCATGGTATTTTTTATGCCATGTTATATTAATCATAGGTTAATCATGTAGTTTGAATTCAACATGCTAAATACACGATTTACCTTGGCGATAAAAGCTGAATCCTTATGGATTTGTTTGATTTTAGTCCTGTTATGTTATGTTGCATGCTTTTCTTGAGCCTGTGGGCAGAAAAGGGAAGGCTACTTGATTAGTTTTATTTCATTTAGCAACCAGTGTTGAAATAATAATAACTTAAGGATACATTTTTATTCTGGAAAATAATTTGAGTGAGCATAATAAAATCTCTAATCATGTGTGATTAAAATTTTTAAGCTGAAGGCTTCCTGAGGCACTGATTGAATACTCCTGCAGGTTTCTTGGGCAGACTGGTCTGGTTGAAGTTGAACATCAAATGCAGGAGATGAACTTGGTGCCGAATAATAATCAGAGAAACAAAAAGAACAAATAGTTTTGTTTTTAATGTTCCTTTAACATTAGAAGTGAAGACATCATGAACATAGGAGATACTCGCAAGAAATAACTCGTGACAATTTAAATGAAAGATAGATACACATCTGTGATGCATTCATCTTGAAAGGAACAAGAAGAAAAGATTGCACTTCATCCATACGTTTGATGAGAATCATAGTGGGCTGCAGCAATTGCCGCCATTAGCCTTCCTTTTCCTTTTCTTTTTCTTCCTTCTTGTGTTTGTGTTTGTCATTTTTACCCTTGATGAAGCAGAAACATGAGCACCAAGGCAGTTTAAGAAGGCACTGCATATCTTTGCGTAGCTAGTGATCTCCAAATGTTTGGAAAACAAGCATGTATATAGCACTCCAGCCTTAGTTTTCTTATTCCTTGTGTTCCTTTATTCATTCATGTTATTGGATGCCATTCCTATCTCTTACAGATCAGAAGATGCCTAACTTCTTTATTTTCATATTCTTTGCCATTGGATGTCTTATGCTTAACTGTGTGGGTATGTTGCTATTTGCATTGAAAAAGAAAAGAAAAATGGAAAGGCTGCCTTTATGGTTCTTTTCCTCATGGAAGAGCTTTCTGGGCTACCAAGAAATAAAAGTAATTGTATGGCTACACTGCAAAAAGAAGCCAAGAATATAAAATCAACAAGGGATATCAGCCGTCTGATTTGGGGGGAAAACTTGGTAACTTTCATGTATAAGGATCAAAGAAGAAGCTTACCAGAGACTACTTCCATGTCAACTACTTGCAAATACAGCAGAAAAATGATGATAATATTTGATATTCAAAATCCAGAACTTGTGCAGGTGCAAGAATAATAGTTACGCAGGTATTCGTCCTTTTGCTAATTTGATTCAATGGTGAAAAAAGCCAGTGACATTTTCCATTGAGATTGGTTGGATTAGTTTACTTTTTCGTCGGTTATATATTTACTTGCACTGCTCTCTTGATTGCCTCTACATTGGGCAAATTTGATTAATATGCCTTCTTACGGATACTGGTATACCTTGTAATATTTCTGCGTCGATTCGATTTGTATCATTGATAGATAAGGCTGGATAATGCTCAATTAAAAACGAATGACAGAATTATGGATACAATGACATGATGTGATAGCTGTCAAATACCTGCAAAGACTGATCTAGGAAGAGTTCTCAATGTTATTATCAACATTGCGGTCCTTTTTCATAGTATTCCTCCCTATTAAATATCATTTATGTCTTATTGCAGTCCCTTGAATCCCTCTGAGAGCAATCTAATATGGTGCACTGATGCACACAATGTGTTAATAACTACATTCGCAATACCTGAAGACAATCTAACAGTTGTCTCAGGAAGCCATGACCAATATCTGAAGTTGTGGAGATTAGCGACCTCGAAAATATGATACTCGCACCTACTCAGAACTTGAATATAGGCATACACGAAAACAATTACAATCAAATGTAAAGCTGTAAAATCAAGTGATATACAAAATTCTGCTTCTTTTGCATTGTACTACTAGTTTTGCAAGCCGCATCACTTCACTCTCTAGTCTAAATGTAGGAGTAGGACTACTCCAATGGCAGCTTCATTTCTTGTTCATAAAATAAACAGCCAAGAGCTAACCGCCATAAAATTCATGAGTAACCTCTCCTAGATTGACACCGTAACATGAAAAAGCAAAATTGATGATAAAAAATGAAAAGATTTTATTGAAGCTCAATGTTGCATTAAAAGGAAACAAATTGAATTAAATTATACAATCAGCTTTGCCACCAAGCTCCAAAAATAGGTGTCTGAATTTTGTTTTTGGCTGGGTTGCATTACGAAAACTTGTACAGAATCTACATAACAAGGGGAATAATATAAAGTCATAAACCGAGTTGCTTTTAACTCACTTCCATAGTTCTTCCATTGGGATCCCACGTTCACGAGCAACATCACGAAACTGCCTCATTTTCTGCACTGCAACAACCGTGGCTCTAGCATTATTGAGGGCATTGTTGCTTCCAAGTTGCTTTCCCAAAGCATTCTCAACACCTGCCATTTCAAGGACAATTCTCACAGCACCTCCAGCAATCACTCCGGTACCAGGTGAAGCAGGTCTAAGCATCACCTTGGCTGCCCCATAATCACCATCAGATCTGCCATTTATTTTCTCAACAGAATCAATTAAATGCAGATAGTCGTAAAAGTACTTCGGCAGTAAAACATATTGAATAAAAAACACGCCCTCTACTAACTTTAACTATAATATGATAAAAATAGAAACAAAGAAAAAGACAAAATACATCCCACTAATCCTCTGCCCATATACATTGGAATATATCAAGAAATCTTTTCTCCAAGTAAATTGTTTCTTATATAAAATATTTTCACTTCCTGGCAATGAGTTGTATGTGAAGAAGAAAGTTCACTGCACTCATCATGCATCTGCAGAGTTCAAAGGAAGTAACTCCACTCTGATATTTTATAAGTGTTCAAAGGCCCATTTCTCGACTTCTGATAGCTTCAAATTTGTACTTTAGCTACTTGGCCAAGTTAGCTTCAACAACGTCCTGACTAAAATGGTACATGAGATTGCAAAATAACAACAAGAACTTCATAATTGTCCACACAGGTTTGCTTTACTCAGCCTCCAGTAGAGTAGTTCGATGTTGGCAGACACAATCCAAAGCCGTATTTGATTCGCAAATATCCATCACCACTAAAGAATAATGCAAGAGACCTGGAAGAACCATTTAACAACTTACCAGATTCAGACAGTTCTTTAACCAACCAGATTGTGATCTGCTGAGCCCTTAAATTCTAACTGAACCAATCTATATCTCTAAAGTATGCAGAATAGAAGCATAAATTCAACTAGAACTACAGATAGAATGTAGTTATAGATAAGCTTTACACCAACACCAATGACCAAAACCGAAATTCACCTTAGAGTTCTACATGGATAGGATAGTTGACTCTTCATTTACAGTTACGCCTAAACAAAAAATTTCCACCAAAGTAACTGAAGTTTCAAACCGTTGTCCATAAAGATAACTACTCTAGCAAATCATGCTCATTGACAGGGAGCAAAGCAATCTTCGAATCAACAATCACTTAAACTATAAATCTTATACACATTCATAATGAAACCCACTTATTAACACACAATTCAAACCAAAACTCAAACATAATCATCAACAACAAACCAAAACAACAACCAACATAAAAGAATCAGCGATACCTGTGCGGGAAGGTTAAGTATTTAGTCATGGGCACAGTAATTATATTCCTCCTAGCATTAACAGCCGATTTTTGAACAGCAGCTATAACCTCTTTAGCTTTACCCACACCAACACCCACTTGTCCTTTCTTATCACCAACCACAACAATTGCTCTAAAACGCAACTGTTTCCCTCCTTTCACCACTTTCGTCACTCTCCTTACTTGAACCACTCTCTCGTCGAACCCGTCCTTAATTTTCTCCTTCTTAGTTCTTCCCCAAGACCCAGATGCTTTTTTCACTTTTGAGTCCATCACATTAATGTCGTTTCCAAGAACAGTGACTCCCGAATAAGCGGGTCCATATAGCTCCTCGTAGGCGGCGGCAATCTCATCCTCGTTTTCTAAGGGGAGGTCGTCGAAGGAGGGAGGTGGGGTGTAGTCTTCAGGTGGGGTAGGTGGGTCGAAAACGGTGTCGTCCTGGTCGGGGTTGTAGTTGTAGTTGTCAAAGAATGAGGTGTCAATGTCGTCTGATTTGGAGGCTCTGGCTGTGAGAGTGAGTTTGGGGAGTTTGGTGGGTTTTAAAGAGAGAAAAGAAAAGCGTGGAGTGGTGTGGAGAGATAAAGAGAGAGAGGAGAGAGAGGAGAAAGCTGGTTTTGGTGCCTGTGTTGTTGATGCTGCCATGGATTATGTTGTGTTGGTCTTGAGTGGAATGGGAAGAGATGGGTTCTGTAATGTCTGTGTGGCTTATCCCAAAGTCTCTTTAACTCTGTATTGATATTTGAAACGGGTAAGGTAACTCCCTTAGAGGAGAAAATTGTAATTTGCTTTTTGAAATTAGGATAATTTTGGAAGTCAATAGTAAGTGAACACCAATCATATTGTGCCACGCTCAATTAGTAAAGGATTATTATCCCACACATCCCCTAAGGTTCTAGTTTTACTTTTCACACCGTAAAGGTATGAAAAATTACCTTGACCTCCCCTCACATTTGAAAAATTATCCAATATCTCAGCCGTTAGTTGACAGAATCCGTCATCTAGTGTGCTTTATTTACAGCCGTGAAGATCAAGGGATATCCAAGTCATCAACTTTGTTTCAAAATCAATAAAAAACACCCTTACCATTAGTGATATGTTAGGATTTCATCCAATTTTAAAATTCTATGCCTTACCAACCTAAAAAATATATTTTTTTTATTCCTCGTTATTTTTATAGATAATTTTATTTTAATTATTTTTTGACAAAAAAACTTAGTTTTACCAAAATAATATTATTTTGATTTTGCCTCAATTAAAATTACTTTAAGGTTGATTATAAATGTCCAATCCTTCGTTTTATCTCATAATAATATAATATAAATTTTAAAACATCTTATTAAAATAAAATACATTTTTAAGTAAATTACTATAGACTGTCTAATTATTTTTCCCCTTTTAAATGGCTAGTTTTAGTAACATATAAACTTTTTAATGTTTTAACTAAAATATAATTATTTCTAAAGTTGATAAATCAATATTTTACATCTCTTATTGATATAATCAAGTTTAAATTATTTTATTTGTATTAAATTTTGTATAATTATCATTAATTATTTAGCTAATTTATCCTCTTAAGCAATTATCATACTTTTTTTTCCCCCAAAAACAACTAAATGTATAACCTTGCTTGGAATAGTATAATTGGAAGTTCAAGTTAATTTTGTGGATTTAGAAATTTGTTAAGTTGGTAAGTCATGAAAAGAGGTAAAGTAGACTTTTAATTTTAATGACATTGATGTTTTTTATATTTTTAGACCAAAGTGTATAAATTGATCTCAGAGGGGGTAAATTAAATACACTAGAAGACAGAATCTGTCAACAAACAGCTATGAGATAATTCTTCAAATGTGATTGCAGGTCTCATGGCTAATTTTTCATACCTTTGGGTTGTAACTGATATAAACTGAAACCTAAAGGGAGGTGTGGGATAATAGTCCATTAGTAAACTGAAACCTCTATGTTAGTTGATTTGCATTTGATTTGGATGTAAAAATGGGAATAGGGTCACATAAGCCTTTAATATATATATATATATATATATATATATTAAAGGCTTATGTGACCCTATTCCCATTTTTACATCCAAATCAAATGCAAATCAACTAACATAGAGGTTTCAGTTTACTAATGGACTATTATCCCACACCTCCCTTTAGGTTTCAGTTTATATCAGTTACAACCCAAAGGTATGAAAAATTAGCCATGAGACCTGCAATCACATTTGAAGAATTATCTCATAGCTGTTTGTTGACAGATTCTGTCTTCTAGTGTATTTAATTTACCCCCTCTGAGATCAATTTATACACTTTGGTCTAAAAATATAAAAAACATCAATGTCATTAAAATTAAAAGTCTACTTTACCTCTTTTCATGACTTACCAACTTAACAAATTTCTAAATCCACAAAATTAACTTGAACTTCCAATTATACTATTCCAAGCAAGGTTATACATTTAGTTGTTTTTGGGGGAAAAAAAAGTATGATAATTGCTTAAGAGGATAAATTAGCTAAATAATTAATGATAATTATACAAAATTTAATACAAATAAAATAATTTAAACTTGATTATATCAATAAGAGATGTAAAATATTGATTTATCAACTTTAGAAATAATTATATTTTAGTTAAAACATTAAAAAGTTTATATGTTACTAAAACTAGCCATTTAAAAGGGGAAAAATAATTAGACAGTCTATAGTAATTTACTTAAAANCAAAATTTTACCTTGAAAAAGGGTTTCTACTTTCTACTGCGTATTGTAGTTTATTGATAGAGAATGCAGCCGCAGCCACAGCCACAGTAGTTGTTTGGTTGGAAATTGGAGCAGTTTCGAACTCAGAGTCAGAGGCAGGGATTATTAAAGTTTGGTTACCATTTAAGCAACCTTCAGTTCACAATCAATGTTGTAGTACAACTCATCAAACTTAATTCCATTGTGATTCTGTTCAGATTTCATAATCAATGCCATACAACTCATCAAACTTAATTCCTTTCCATTGTGATTCTGTTCAGATTTCATAATCAATGCCATACAACTCATCAAACTTAATTCCTTTCCATTGTGATTCTGTTAATCAACTTCAGATTTCATAATCAATGCCGTACAACTCATCTACTTACCATAACTATCAAAGAAGATTATAACTTAAAAAAAATTGTATAACCTTTTCTATTCCATCAAGAGAGAATTTTACATTAGATACACCAAAAGACTTTTAATTATTTTCCCTTTCTTCTTTTGAACTATGTCTCTTCTCTATATCCTCCCCATAAAACCACAAACAATCATGTATCAGTATAAAAATGAAAACTCATTGATCATCCATGAATCATATTGACCATGGTATCACTACTAGACTATTAAGGCATGAAGTTGTTACTCATGCTCAAAGTAAAAAATTATACCGATTGACATCCGGTAACATTCCCAGACCACCATAGCAGTCATCAGTACTACTGTTGTTCTGATGATCATCTGTGATGCTAATTTTACCATTCGATAATGAGGCTGGTTGTATGGATGCTTCTGCTGAATAGGGATGGATTCCTGTGTTAGTAAAGTTGTTGGATAGAGCATCATTTGCTTCGTCTGGTTGTCTATATGAAGAAGCACTATTCATAGGCAATGCCATGAGGTTGTATGCTTCTTGTTGTTCCTTGTGTTTAAGTTGTTCTATAAGTAGCGCTAAAGATGCTTCTTCCTCGTCTCTAGCTTGCGGCGTAATTTGTGTATTATAGTTGTCAGTGTTGTTGTGGTTTATATAGTGTTGTTTGTATGATGATGGCTCGGCCTCTGGTCTAGCCGGTTTTTTGACCTTTGTAATGGAGAAATACTGTTCCTCAAATGGAAAAAGATTAACAGTTAGAACTTGGAACACATAAAACACAGAAATTAAAGATTACACAGTAAAAAGCAGACTAAAGCAGCATATTTCATATAGCTAGCTGGAAACGGAAGTAAAATTGTAAAAACATCTCCAAAATCAGAACCTTCCCGAAAGAGATATACAGTAGCTGATGCTAATAAGGCTAATGTTGAATGTAGTGCAGGTCGGGTTTATCTTCCACAAAGCTGCAGAATTTGTGCTACGCACGTTCTCATCCTAGCTGTCTATTAAAAGGGCAGTTGTAGAATTGTGTTACCAACACATCATCTACTACATGTAAATAAAACACTCAAATTTTTTGTCCATTTTAGAACTGTTTTTTTTTGTCATTTTTTGTTCACATCCTCCCAAAGGATTTCGTCATCAATACAGAAGAGGTCAAGGGGACTGTTGTCCCCCACTTGAACAAACTTTTTACCCTTTTTAACATTTTCAAAATTCAACTTTAATTGTCAAAAAAATATGATTATTATGGTAATAAGGAAGATTAACTCACGAGATTTTTGTTCTCATCCTCGTAAAGAGTAAGGGAATCTCCAATCTCTAGCCTGTTTTGCTTTACGAAATCTCCTGTAGATTGAAAAAGTGAACTGTGAGCTTGCTAAAAGTGAGAAATTCTGGACCCTGAGAGAAAAGATTCCGACACAACATGCAAAAATATTAAGTCGTGATATAAAAAACTTCATCATCAAGTGGAACTTGCCTGTATTTTCAAGAACATACATTCTGCTTTTATTGTTAGACCAGTACCTGTGTAACCAAAAGACCAAACTCTTATCATCAAGAAGCAGTTTCAAAGACAACCCAAATGAAAAAAAAAAACAAACGCTAATATATATGGTACCCACTTGAATTTAAGAGTCCAGAATTGTTCAGAGAAGGCATCTCTCATCACTACTTGAATTCCTTCTTTATCAGAGAGACTTGGAAGATTCTCCTCGGCTTCTCTCTGGATTAACAATGCCGAGAATGAACACATTAGATCAACTCCGATAGAAGAGAACGCTGTATTATTGATATAAAACAAGGAAAATGTTTGATAATTATCCTTGTTAATTAGAGTTATAAAAATAATTATTATTTCCTTTTCCTTTTTGCTTTATTTTTGTGTGCAAGAATCGAGAAGTCTGGAAGGGAAGTTATTCGGCAGACTGGATCATAACTATGATGTGGTGTGGTGATCAATAAAAGCAAATCAAATGAAAGAAAATGGTTGGCTCGTTAATGTACTTCTTTTCCTTCTATCATCTTTTCTTGGAATCAAAAACCAAAAAGAGAAAAACAAGACCAAAACAAGCAAAATTTGACTATACAAAACAAAGGCCGGCCCTAATACACACTCATTTTGATTGTAAAAACCTCACCTTTGGAAGAACAATCCTTCCAAGAGACCCCACATCACTGTTCTTCAACTCCTTCCTCAGCAACACTCTCAGTCTCTGCAAGAAAAGCTCAAATTAATTTCTCACTAAAGGACATGATATTAAAGAAAATAAAACAACAAAAAATTGAGAGATCCAAGTGATATTTCTCACAAACTCACTTTGTTATCTGGAGTGCAGAACTTATACAGATCTCTGTTAGTGTTGATGGTGTCAGCACCATACATTGCAAGTCTCCTTGCATCCATATGAGTTGAGGAAGACACAATTGAAGAACCACCAGAAGAAGCATTTCTTTGCGAACTAAGGCTCCTTTGGCGTGCTAGTTTTCTCTTAATCCTAGCAATCTTGGTCTTTTGTGGATCTAAACTCCCTCTTTGTTGCTCCTTTACTACACCATTATTTGGTTGCCAAAAGCACGATCCTGCAGGTACCCCATTAGCAGCTCCAATTTCAATCCCGTTTTGTCCATACCACACGGGATACACAGGATATGCAACAAAAGATTGAGTAGCCGCCTGGTCTAAAGGGTATGTGCAAGAAAATTGCATTCTTTGATGAAAGGGTTGCAAATACTGAGGCGGTAAGAAGTACTGCGGTAGTGTTGTAGGCAATGTTGGAGGGAAGTTCACTGGTTCAGTGTTAGAGAACTGGGAATTTTGAGAAGAAGCCATATTTGTTTGTTTCATGTTAATGATGGTAGTAGCGTTTGTGTTGTTAGCATCGGTAGTGGCTGTGGTGCTTGGTGGTGTAGGAAAGTTGTTTGCCATTATTTAAATGCAAAAATGGTTGTATTTTCGGTTGGGTTGGTGATCAAAGAAGTGTTGCATAGAGCAGAAGTGTGCGTATGTGTGTTTGGAGAGTATTAGCAGCATATGTAGTGAGTGCAAGTCCGGTTGAAGAAGGTCGTGGTGGTGTAAGATGGTGCCAGTGGAGAGAGCCCAGGTGTCCAAAAAGCAAGAGAAACGCGTCAAGTGGTGCAGAAGGGCCGGTGTAGAGAGAGAAAAAGCCATGAAATGGTAGAAAAAATCTGAGAAAATTAAAGTGAGAAGCTGTAAGTGAAGTGAACAAATGGGGTGAAAGAGTAGAGTGAACCAATGGTGAGGCGTCGGTGACAGATGGTGGGAGGTTGGTGGTTTCGGGATACCCATCTGCCCAGTAAGAGAGGGAGATACAGTTGGCTTCAAAAACTTGGCGCCACCCCCCGTTTAAATGTGGCAGGCTTGGGCTCATCTTGCACAGAACACCATGCACCTAAAGCCTTAACCCATTAATTCATTCCATAAGGGTTTCTCTAAGCCTCTTAAAATATAAACTTTATGGGAGAAATTATAGGCCACTGCTTATTTCTTCACAATCTGGCTCTCAAACTCGAGAGACACCCATGAAATATCAAAGAACATGCCTAGTTCCTCTTGTTTTTCTTAGAATTATTTTCACAGTTTCGTAAATACTAGAGGCTTTTATTGGTTTAAATTGTTTCAAGTTAGGAGTTATCGCGACGTCAAGATTTTTTTTTAATGTTTATCTTAAGGTGTTTTGGTTGTAATTTAGTTTTTATAATAGGTTTATGTAATGTTTGGAATGTGAGTAAAAGGTTGAAGTAATGTTTGGAATGTGAGTAAAAAGAGTGGCTGACAGCCAAGAAGATGAAACTTGTTGTACCTCCGCTCCATGGCATTGCCATTTTGATGCCTTGTTAAGCATCAGTTTGGCCTTGCCTCCAGGATCAAAGTCACCCTGCATCAACACTCTTTCTTTTAGCAAACCAAATAGAATGCCTTGCATAAACCAAGGGAACACAGTATATAATAACTTATTAAGGACAAAGAAAAAATTAAGTACTTTATACTAAATTGTGTACAAATAATTTAAATAATGGTCATGCTCCCTAGTGGAATGACAGGCCTCTCCTTTTCTTAAAACTGAGAAGAAAGGAAGGCAGGAGCTCAAGTATAACAAATTTTAAACAAGAAGAGAAGTTGAACTCAAGGAGAACTTGATCAACATAGGTATGCTAGTATGAAAAATAAAAGTTAAAAAACCCCACCCTTATGAATAAATAGCGGTAATTATACACAGTAAATTACATGTTCAGGTAGTAAAATATCACCTCAGATGCATGTGATCTAAGTTCCTTGCTTCCCATTGTTTCCAACTGTTGAAATGAGCCACTAATCGAAGTTGCTACCAACTGCACAATATAGAAGAGAAATTGTAAGTCCACTTATCCAAACCTATGCCGGAAGTACATAACAACTGCAGCCTGCCCTGCTATCAAGAAATCACCCTGTATATCATACTCTTACAAGCTATATAGTGAAAAACAAAACAATGATTTTATGAAAACTTGTCTATTTACAATCTTTTGATTCAGAATCAGAAAAACATATAACAATTCCAACAGAAAAGCATTTCTTCATGGAACAGTATCATTGTGTAACATAGAAGTTCTGAAAATTGCACCATATTTTCCCTGCATTCCATGGCATCACTTTATTTACATTATTAGAACATTCAGACCACTAGATAAATGTAAAAACATTGATCATGAACAAAATAAGGTTTTGTCTATCCCTCTGGACAACTGAACCACTGCCTTACTTTGAAAACAACAATCCATTAATTTTATATACTTTAGGAGACAATATAGGTAAATTCCAATTATAAGAGAAGAACAATAATTTCTTGAGTTTGTAAAGTAACTGGAATACCTTTCTATATCACAAGGTTAGCTCCTAGTGAATAAATACACTCAAAAGGAAGAAAATCTGGAATTAATTATAACTCGGCTGATTACAGTTTTCTCCACAGGTAGTGCCAAAGGGAAAAATAGTAATAAAAGACACATTTGTTAAGTTACTATCAGTTAGTATGCTGTCAACAGTAAATAAAATATAAGGTATTAAAACCTCTAGATAAAGAAAGCAAAAACAAGTTGTTAGCACAATTTTTTCCTGGCAAAAAGTATGCCATGGAAAAGAAGTTTATCATTAAGCACTTATAGTGAACGAAAGAGAACAGCTAAAACACAAAAAAGAGTTGGTTGGAAATAGAAAGAAATAAGATTTTGCACATAAATTTTTTTAACTTTTTGATCATATATACAACTATCTTCAGGTAATGTATGAATTAAATATGAGTTTCACAAGAAGCTTGACTTTGATGGAAGGATAGAGACAGAATCTACAAACAAGAATGAATTAACCATTATAAGGTACCATAGCAGGAACCATTTAAAGATCTATATGATGCATGCAATAGAACTTGATAATATAAAAGATATATAACTATCTACTTAAGTGAAAAGGAAAGTAACACAATATTTCGATAACAATGAGTATCAAAAAAGCAACTTGGTTTACTGATAAGCAACTGAAATTGACAAAACCTTTGAAACAGATGCCTGACTTGTTGAGCAACTCAGAAATTTTGTGTTTCTAGAGCTATAATAAGCAAAAATCTTTGCAGGAGTTTATGAGAAGAAAAGAAAAGTTTTGGTAATGGTTACAGGCAACAAAAGTATTGATGGATGGATTTGTGAAGAGACTGTTGCATCACTTATAGATCGGTAAAGATGATCTGCATGCACCTAACAGGCCTGGGTGATAACACCTGCCTAAGCGGGATCAATAGCTGTCAATGATTTAGAAGCAATGGTGAACACGTTGAGCCATAGCCAGAACTTTTGCTCTATAAAGACAATATGAGTAAGGCGGAATCAATTTATCATTCACATCCGTTGTTGTTACTCGGATTTTGCAAACCGAAATTACAGAGTCATTTCTCGGAAAGCATAGATTGACAAACATATCCTGCATTCCAGAAACAAACAGAGTCCACCCAACCTTGACCTTCTAGAAGCATCAAATTAGGCAGAAGCCATGGTAGGAGCTCAATCATTTATAATTAGTTCAACGAAATTCAATTCTTTCAAGAGTTCTGAATTAGACAAAGAAAGGAGAAAAACATTAACAATCCTGACTAAAATACCAGAGTTGTGGTATGGATCACCATCTAATCAATTCCCAAGGATCATTTCCAAAAGCTTTAAAAGTTGTATCATTATTTCCTTTCTGCTAGCATCTATTACCAAAAAGCCAACATTAACAAGTCACTATGTGATCTGAGAAAGTTATATCAAACTTAAAACATAGCAGTCAATAAACAGAATTTCTAGATTACATTCAAGAACAAAACTTAAAATTAATTCCAGATTTCCAAAATTGGTTGGTTTTCTTGATTATGCAATGTAATGCAGACAATTATCTGCTTTAGGATCATACTTAAGGTTTTATAGTGTCGCTTGAATTCTAGGCTCTGTTTGTTCAAAACAGCAACAATGTTGAATCAAACAGAAATTAAGGTAGATAAAGGTGATGGTGGCGGCAATTGCCATGATGATGATAATAATCAATCAACAGATTACTCTGTCATTTGAGAAAGTTATAATAAAACTTCCATATGCACACTCCAAAAGCATAGATTTTTACTTACTATCTAAACTGAAACTTAACCGAATTTATTTTTACCTTGGGCATATTCATACTTCAACACGGTTTCAAAACACAATGTAATCTAAAAGGGATTGTTGGAGAGAACAAATTACCTTTTGACAGCCATCTCTAGTCCCAACCCTCAAGATTAAATAATAAACTCCAAACCAATTTGATTATGCTAACCGGCTACACACAACATTATAGAAAAGACTCCTAGTTAGCACTGAACAGAAATGGCCATACTAATCATACAACTCGGTGATTTCTAGGTGGTGAATAGAAACAATGGCTGGAAATATAACCGAACGCATTGCATCCTTCTTGTTCTTCTTAATATTGACAACTTCAAAGACTAAATCTCCTGATTTATCCTGTAAATGCCAGCCAATCAACATATTATGCTGAGTTTGAACTTATGTTTAATATGTAATTGTCGTTTCTTTCTAATAACCTGAAAAACTTCATCTAAAAACAAATCTAGCAAAGGTGCATTTGGAGTAACTTATACATATATGCATAAGAAAAAATTTGTCCCAGTTTCCTGGAAATACAAACTCCAATCCTTATATCATTCAATCAGTGACAGTGAAGAAAATTCTGGTCAAAATCATAGCAAATGCATAATGTTTAACTGCATTTATTCAAACGATAGCGACCCAAATAACCTTTAAAGCTAACAGCAACGTTCACTGTGACTCCAGAGACTGATTAATTTGATCATGAAGGTATAAAATCAGCACATATAATGCATTAAAGCTCAAAAATCTATAGATTACAGCTTCTACCTCATTCTAACGCTAAAGATGTGTGGTTAGGACTTGAAATGACTAAAAGCTTTTATCTCCTAAAACTTCTATCACTTTTCAACCTACTTGTAATATGCTACATACAAATATAACAGGTTTTCACAAAATCAAATTTAGCAATTATAATATTGTGATCTTGGTACAAACGAACAAGATGAAAAAGGAAGTATTGGGATTGTTACCTGAAATGGTGACCATAAAAACTTCTCTAAATTCTCTCTTGTTGTGTAACGTATTCTTTTTCGTAGTTCTGTAATATGATAAGTAGAAGCGTTACACTTGTCCAACACAAACTCTTGAAATCAAAGGTGTATAAGTGATGCCGATGCATCAAGGTCAGGGAAAGGGGTCCCTGGAGTTAATGGATCAACCCAAACTTACCCGTCTTAAATGGGCTTGAGGCCCACCTCAGTGCCTAGGCTAACACAATTATTAGGGTCTAATCTCTTCTCAACTCAAAATTAAATGCATTTTACCAAAATTTATTGCTTTAATGCTTCTCAAATTGATTAGTTGAACAATCTCATTTTGAGAATTAAAATTTTAAAAATTTAATCATTGGTAACATTAAACGAATAAAATTGAACATCAACTTTAATGCACTTATTGTAAATATTATACACTTAATTTGACAAAATTACTTCATTTATTCCATTATGTTATAATATAACCTTGTAATATTTTTTTTTTATTATATCGTAATCTTCATTTATTCCATTGAGGTTTGCCTTAATGACACTTTCCCACACAAAAGTTATATTCTGTTACTACCCAAAGCCGATTTTGGCTAATTCCAATGGCAAAAATTCTCTCCATTGCTACCATTTGAGTCTCCGATCTCCTCTCTACAAAACTTTTCTTACTTCACCACTTGATTTCTCACTGATTGTGAGCCACCGTAAAGCTAGAGTTTCTCGTTCTTAGTTGATTCTAGCGGCAAATATTCAATCTGTCACCACCATTTGATCCACCAGCTTCCACTCTACAAAACTCATCTTACCTTGGCTTTTGGTAACTCGACGAACGCCGATTGAGAAAGTGAAGTATATTTTGGATATAAACGGAATATAAATTTTGGGTAGAAAGTGATATTTTGAAACTTTTTTATGGGAAAGTGTCATTAAGGCAAACCTAGGGTGGGAAAAAGTCGTTTACTCCTATCCTTAATATCAATATATAATTCTTTCGGTTCTAATATATAGTTAAAATCACTAAAAGCTTATCCATTTTTATTTGACCAAATTAAGTGAATTATCAAAATGGATATATGAACATGTGTTGACTACCTAAAGTACCCAAAAACGAGGCAGACAACGTGTGCTCCACGTGGAAAAATTCTCCACGCGTCTATCTAATAGGTTGCCACCTTCTTCATCCTTTACACCTTATTAGCATGCCATGCCACACTGCGATTATCAGAATTCAGAAAGCAGGAAAAACACACACAAAATTCTCAACATTCGTAATTCAGACTGACTAACCATGGCTTCCATGTCCATAACCAAGACCACCATCTTCAACCTCTCTAAAGCTTTCCCCAAAACCTCTTCTCTTTCTCTATCTTCTCGCAAAGTCTCCAGGGTCTGCTTCGCNATCAATATATAATTCTTTCGGTTCTAATATATAGTTAAAATCCCTAAAAGCTTATCCATTTTTATTTGACCAAATTAAGTGAATTATCAAAATGGATATATGAACATGTGTTGACTACCTAAAGTACCCAAAAACGAGGCAGACAACGTGTGCTCCACGTGGCAAAATTCTCCACGCGTCTATCTAATAGGTTGCCACCTTCTTCATCCTTTACACCTTATTAGCATGCCATGCCACACTGCGATTATCAGAATTCAGAAAGCAGGAAAAACACACGCAAAATTCTCAACATTCGTAATTCAGACTGACTAACCATGGCTTCCATGTCCATAACCAAGACCACCATCTTCAACCTCTCTAAAACTTTCCCCAAAACCTCTTCTCTTTCTCTATCTTCTCGCAAAGTCTCCAGGGTCTGCTTCGCCTCTCCGTCCTCAAATTATAACTACAATCATAAGGTGAAATTCTTAGAGCCAGTTCACAACCTCCTTTCATAATGTTTGGTGATTAATTTTGTTGATTGATTTTTGAATTTCAGGGCCGAGATTCAGTGGAAAGGGCCAAAGACTCGAGGGCTGATATGGCCTACGAGTCGAGGCAAACGATGAATGAAACTGATGAAGATATACCAGACGTGACTGATGAAACAAAGGAACCTCTTATAGAAGCGAAGGAAAGAACCAAACAACGTGCACAGGAAATGAAGGAGAAAGCAAAAGAGTACGGGCAAGAAGCTAAAGAGAAGGCCAAAGAAGGAACTTACAAAGCCGCGGAGACTGCAGAGAGCACGAAAGAGAAGGCAAAAGAGTATGCTGAAGAAACTAAAGAAAAGGCGAAAGAAGGACCTTATAAAGCAGCTGACAATGCACAGAGCGCGAAAGAGAAGGCAAAGGAGTATGCATATGAGACAAAAGAGAAAGCCAAAGAAGGGACGGAAAGAGCGGCGGAGACTGCACATTACACAAAAGAGAAAGCAAAAGACTACACGCATGGGGTGAAGGAGAAGACCGAAGAGGCTGCAGAGACGGTGGCGGATAAGGCCAAGGAAGGGACAACCAAGGCGGCGGAGACCATGCAGAATATAGGAGAAAAAACAAAACAAACGGTGCAAGGTGCATGGGGCGCGGCCAAAGATACTACACAGAAGATTAAAGAGGCCGTAGTGGGAAAAGATGATGATAATATTTATAGAGAGAAGAAAATAGATGAAGATGTTGTTGCTGATTTGAAGAGGCGAGCAGGAGGATATGATGAGAATAAGAAGAAATATTAATTGATATAGTAATTAATGTTGTGTTCTGTTAATTAACTGCAAATAAGTTTATGGCGGGTTAGGTTTTCATGATACTATTTTGTGATGTAATAGGGCCCCCTTTTGTTCTGATTTTGTGCTTTTTAATTTTCAACTTAAATAATAAGTATACTACTTGCTTTGTTTCTACTAAATTTTATCCTATAGTTTAGAGTAAACGACTTTTTCCCACCCAAGGTTTGCCTTAATGACATTTTTCTATCCAAAAAGTTTCAAAATATATACCACTTTCTCAATTTGACATTCGGCGAGTTATCAGGAGCCAAGGTAATTTTGTAGAGTGGAGATCGATGGATCGAATGGTGGTGACCGAATGAATATTCTCAATCGAAATCAGTAAAAAATCAACTAAGAATAGGAATGGTAGTGACCGAATGAATATTTGCAATCGAAATCAGTCGAAAATCAACTAAGAATATAAAACTTTAACTTTAGGAAACTTTAAGAATAGAAAACTTTAACTTTGTAGTGGTTTGTAATTGACGAGAAATTAGGTATCAAAGTGAGAGAGATTTTATAGAGAAGAGATCAAATGGTGGTGGTCTGTAATTAACGAGAAATTAGGTGTTAAAGTGAGAGAGGTTTTGTAGAGAAGAGATCAAATGGTGGTGATTGACGAATTTCTTGTTGTCAGAATGAGTTTTGGATAGTAACGAAATATAAACTCTAGGTGGGAAAGTAGTATTTTGAAATTTTTGGAATGAGCTTTGGATATTAACGGAATATAAACTCTGGGTGGAAAAGTGGTATTTTGAAATTTTTTGGGTGGGAAAGTGTCACTAAGGCAAACCTTGGGTGGGCAAAGTTGTTTTCTCTATAGTTTATGCAGTAATTATAAAACGGATGGTTGATTGTCAATTATATGATTGATGGATTGTAGTGCTCTTATTCAAATTAAAATGGACCAAGTGAAGCCCACTTCGTTAAACAGAAGCCCAGATACGGCAATCAAAAAAGTATTATATGAGGGAATGGCTGTTGTAAGTAGGGGATGGTCCACAGTCCGCACGAGGATAATCATGATGATGATCAAATGGACCACGTAATAATAAAAATAAAGGGACTTATGAAGAATAATGGAGCAGAAATACACTGTAGCAAATAGTAAGGAAGAGTTAGAGAACCGGTAGCGTTTGTCCACAAAGTGGTGGCTGTAGGAGCAGTTGTAACCCCTAACGGACATGGTCGTCACCTCTCCCCACCCCACCAATTTCTACGCGCCTTCTTTCTCTTCACTTACGTGGCTTCTGGGCACGTGCCACTCCCCCTACTTTCTCTTATTTTAACTGAACATTCTACTTCACTTCTCTATGTAGTTCAACACCCCCCTCATCTTTCATCCCGCCAAATTATCCTTTAGTTATTAAATTTTTTTCCTTTTCCCCCTGTTCCATCGCTTGAAATGAATAGCAATCGGTTTTTTAAGAAAGAATTAAATATCTCTATCACACAGTTTTTGATAATTTTATAAAATAGTATTTTATATTTTTAAAATGAATACGTTTCATCTTAAATTATTTCATAAAAGGAAAATGAATGAATCTGCCTGTCATTGAAGTAAACTTCATGTAGGTACAATAATAAATACATAATCTCAACTTTAAGTGAAACAAATTAGTGTGATAAAAGTATATGTAGGTGACTCGAACGGTTGGATAGGAATTCTTAAGTATATTATTCAAGAGGTTCTGAGTTCAAGTTTTGTTTCTGAGTGCTAATCGGTATAGTCATTAGAGTTCTTACTATATCGATAATTTCAGGATCTCAAAAAATTAGTTAAAGTGTACAAAATCTGGTCTGAACATCTCCGATGATCAACCAAAAAAATCACAAATTTATTCTGAAACAACGTTCATGTAATATGCTATAATAATGTGAGATTAAGTTTGGATATATGATAAGACTTTGTAGTTGAAAGAGATTAATTTATTTTGATATCACCAAATATTTTAGATTTTTTTTGGGGGGGTGGGGGGGTTGGGGAGGGAAGGATGGTCTTTTATGTAATATGGATCTTTTATGTAATATGGATGGGTGTGAATATTAAAGAAGAGTTCCCAAAGAAGCTGACGTAGAGTTCAACAGAAGAGAAAAGAGTTAAAAATAAATTAAGAAAGAATAAAAAAGAAGAAACAAAAAGAAAGAGAATAGAAGACTCAAGAGTGAAATTGTAGTAAGTGGAATGAGAGAGAAAAACAAATAAAAAAGGAGAAAGAAGCTGAATTCTGACACAGCCCACCACCCCATTGACTACCGCCACGCCACCCCTGTTTGGCCGGAGCAGCCGCCTCTCTGCTACTGGTCCAACCCTCTATTATACTTCTTACACCGTCTCTAATCTCTTTTGGATCTTTCCATCTTAATTTTTTTTTTTTGTCCCCCCACTTATTAATCTTAGCGATAATATACATATATATTTATTTTATTTATGTTGCGGCTTCATGGGTAGAAAAAAAGAGTGAGATTTAGTAAAATCTTTCTCGAGTTGGCTCTTTCATGATGTATTTGGTGTTCTGATTAAGAAACTGAACTGGGGTTCTTTAATTCTTGCTTCATGTTTCCTCTGGGTTGGTGTGAGATGGGACTGAACCTGAACTGAACCATTTGTTTATAATTAACTGTACTTTCACTGAACCAAAATCCATTTCCCCTTTAACTCTCTAATATTTCTGCGTATCAGATTGAGACCTCTCCTCTGCCGACTTTGCCCACGCCCGACACCCGTACAGCACTCCCTCTTTAGTCAATACCCTCTCACTGTTGATATTATCTTATATTGCATCTGTGTATGTGTTTTTCTGAGAATCTAGAGAGATTTTGAAGTATAGATTGTTATTTTGGTGTTTAGTTGAAAGTTTCCATAATTGAGAGGCCTTGGTTTTGGTTTTGTTGTGGGTAGGTAAGTGGGTATTAGAGATCGCATGCAAACTATCGCCGTTGATTTGCAGTTTGTGCAGATTCTCAAGACACGTTGAGTTCACCTATACCTCTATATCTGAAACGCCCCTTCTCCACTTTCATTTCTAAACCAAAACCTGCATGCAGCAAACCCACAGATAGAGAAAAATTCACTCTTGATTTTCCAAAAGATGCAGCAGCAAGATAGAGGAGGGAGTGAAGAAAAGAAGCCGGCACAAAATCAGCAAGATCGGAGATTGAAGGTGATGCAAGGAGAGACTTCACAACAACAACTGCAGCAGCAGCCCCAAAAGTGTCCTCGTTGTGAGTCTCTAAATACAAAGTTTTGTTATTACAATAATTACAGTCTCTCTCAGCCTCGTTATTTCTGCAAGACTTGTAGAAGGTACTGGACTCAAGGTGGAACCCTAAGGAACGTTCCTGTGGGAGGAGGTTGCAGGAAAGGAAAACGTACAAAAACCTCCTCTTCCGGTGAAAATTCAAGATCTTCTCACCCACACCCATCTCCGCCTTCTCAAAATATTCTCTCTTCCGGCTCGGTTGTTGCCAGAAGTGCTAAAGAATCTGGTAATAATTTGGCTACGCCGCCTTCAATTTCTTCCATGGGACCTTACTTTCCGAGTGGTGGTTTCTTGTCTTCTTTAGCAGCAATTCAACCTTTGAATCAACCACAATCTTTTAATCAGAATCTGAGTCCAGCTCTTAGTGCTGGTGTTGGTGGTGGTGGTGGTGATCATATGGGAGGGTCTTCAAATTTGGGTCTTTTGCAGGGATATAGCGTCCCTTTTGTCCAGCAAACACAATTTTACCAGATTGGTAATAGAGAGAAGAGTGTAAATCCCATTTATCATCCACCTGAAGGGAGCTTGATTCACTCTGCAAGACCTGCAAGTTCTTCTCAACATGATTGGCATCAAAGCTTCATCAACAATACTAACCCTAATGTATCTGATACGGCTTTGTGGAGCATCAGCACCAGCAGCAGTGCCCACACTAACGCCAACAGTAACAATACTGGCTCTGTTTCTGGTTCTTTGAACCCGAATCCGTGGGATCATCCAGGTTATGGCCCTCCTTCCTGATTAAACTATCTTGCAGCTCTCTCAAATCTCCAAAGAATGGACAGGAGCATAAGTTCTCTTGAGGAATTTTTTGCATTTTTATACAGAGAAAAAAAAAAACCACAAAATCTCTATAAAGATTTCACATTTGGGTTATAAACCTTACTTTGAGATGTGTTTGTATTCATATATATGGAAGAAGAAAAATAGGAGAAATGGCCTTTGTTTATTATAGAGATTTTCTGGGTTGAAAATTAGGAAGATTAGGTTTGTTGTTTTTGAACTTCTGATTAAAGTTAATAAGGTGTATGTTTGGTGAGCTTAAATTTATTTCTGCTTTTTATTGTACATGAATATTAATTTTCGATTAAAAAGAAATTAGGGTTTTGTTTTGTTTTGTTTGTGAGAGTTGAAAGCTAAGTCTTAAAAGAGGAGAAGAAGAATAGGTAAAAATAGAATGCATGGGATAGTGGGAGCTGATGTGTTTGTGAAAGTTGTTAGACAAGATGGTTCCCCTTTGTTGCATTTGCATGTGGGCGACTGACATTTACTCATCTTTAATGTTCATCACTTTACCTTTCCACACACCAAAAAGCTTTCATCTAAAATTTACTCTTTCATTCATCATGCCCATGCATTCATCCATATATTTCAATTTCTTTTCTGGTGTTTTGAGGTTGACGTAAAGGATCCAATGGCTTACAGTGAGCTGCATGGTTTTGATTTGAGTTTGAGTAGGAAGCAAGCATACCCAAAGCACTCGGAACTATTACAACTTAGAGTTCTCGAACAAACAATGTAATAATTTGACCATCCCTCTGATTCATGTAGTTTAATAAGAATGTTTCTTTAATTATTAACTTATAATAATAAATAAATGAAGATCATGAACAAATTGGAAGGGGCGTGGAGGTGGGTATTGTGGATTCCAAGGAAATCTTAGGCCTGGCAAGGTGAGATCTCTGTCCAGGGCATAAAAAGAGAGGAGTGAGAGGGTGGTTCTTGGGATACCCCAATCCCCATCACTTCTTTGCCGTACACCACACTAAATAAATTCTTTTATTAATTCAACTTGGAAACCCTGTCTCAGATACCCATTTCCGTTCTACTTTCTACTCAATATTTATTCAACTTAATCTTTGTCATTATAAGTTAACCAAATGGAAATGGTTAATCTTGGTACCTATTATTTAATTACTTGGAAGGTTTGGTAATTTTAAAAATAAATTGAAAACAACAATGTGGGATTCAATTTTGTATAATTCTCTGAAAACATAAATATATTTATTTACAAAAGTAGGAAAAGAGACGAGTACCCAAGGCATTTTCTCGCATTGGGAAATGGGAATCGTTTTTTTTAATTATTTGAGGTATTAATATTAATATTAGAGGATTAAGCCTTGACTCCTTACAAGTTCAATACACTAAAGTAATTACATAAATGTGATATCAAATTTCATGATCACTTAACTCCTTACAAGTTTAATTGACTAATATAATTATATAAATGTGATATATATTTTTTTTGTGACTCGAACACAATACCTCTTGGATAAAGATAGCGGTGGATCATACCGTGCCTAAAAATTCAAGGTTCATCATGTCGTGCTAAGGCCGGTAAAAATTCGTGTCTTGTTGTGTTGTGTTGGCCCACCAAATTTGAAGGCCCACGGCACAACCCACTATATATGGTGCCGTGCTTTGGGTCGTGCCATAGGCCAACTCACATGCTTTGTAAAAATATTTAATTTTAATATTTATAAATTATGATAATTTTAATTATTATTAATAATTATTATAGAAATATTTATATGTTATATTTAGAGACATTTTTTATTTATATTAATTAAAAAAATATAATAAAATAACGAAACATTTAAATATTAATTGAATTTTAACATTTTTTATTACTTATAAGTTATAATTATAAATTACAAATACAAACTTAGAAATTAGGATTAAGAATTATTATATATCTTAATTTTCATTGATTTCTAAATTCTTATAATTTAATTTTTTTATAATTTTTATATTTATAATTTTTAATTTTTTTCGTATCGTGCCATGTTGGCCCATGTGCCTTTTTTAAGGCCTACAGCACAGCTTGCATAGAGATGGGCGTTTACCCTGGCCCCGCGAGGATCCGGACCAACCTAGCCCGAATGAGGCAGGGAATCCCCGAAAAATTCGGGGATAGGGCCGGGGATGGTCCTCAGAAAAATCCCCGCACCTGGGGACGGCTCAGGAGAGGGGATAGTGCAATCCCCGGCCTGGCCTGCTCCATCCCAATGAAGCCTCGCTCACCCCGCCGCTCTTTCTTAAGAATTTCATTTTTTTTTTTTTTTTTGTTCCCTTTGCAAGATTGTATATAAAATTAGAGTTTAAATCATGGTTTTAAGTAATGTATTTAAATTTATGATATTTACTTTTATAATACTTTCTAATGTTTGTATTAAATTTATAAAAAAATAATTTAATCGAAGGAGTCTAATAATTAAATATATGTATTATTACTTTGTGAATTTCACAAAATAATAATACATGGCCCAAAATTTTTTTTGATTAGATTATTATAATTTACCAAACCAATATATTATGAAGTTTATGTTGCAATGGATAATTTGAGTATATTATGAGGTTTATGTTACAACCTGAAAGATGTTTATATTTTATTGCTTTGAAATCTATGAGCATGTTTCAATTTTTGCAAAGAAATTGTTGTTATTTACCATATTGATATCAATTCTCAGCGAAATTTTCTTTCAGGAATTTATTTTAAGAATTTTAGTAGATGAGACTATTTCATTGGAACATTACAATGCTTCACCAACATAAAGCATCAGAATGTGAAATCTAAATTCCTCTATTTAATACTATATAGAAAAAGTGTCACTAACTTAGTAATAATTAAATTAGTTTATGGTGGTAGTTATGTATTGCTTTTTAAATCTTGATTTAAATTTTACAAGAAATTGTTGGTTTTATATTTTCTTACCTTAAATTTAGCATTTTTAATAAATTAACTACTAAAATTAAGCAGTCAAATATAGTACCTACTAACGTGCTAGTTTCTCATAATTAAAATAATTTAATATCATTTTTGTGAGAACATGCGAAAAGTTTTTATCTACACGGGGTAAAAATCCTCGTTTGGGGGATAAATCTCCGTAAAGGGAAATTCCCCGCGAAGCCCCATTCATTAGGTCGGGCTGGGACGGGGACAGTCATGAGAAAAATTCTTGCCCACGGGGACGGGTCGAGGACGGTCATGGAAATGGGTAACGAGGATGGGGTCCTCGGCCCCGACTCGGCCCGCGCCCATCCCTCAACCTGCATATTTTCGTGTCATGCTATGGGCCAGCACAACCATCGCCGACTCTATTCCTGGGTATAGCTAAGTTTAGTGGCAAAAGAATTTACCATCCGTCCACAAGGAGACAAGTGAATGGGAATCGTTCTTTCAACCCAAAACCGAAAATGCATTTTGATCATGCTTTTCCGGGTTTAAAACAAATTAAACGATTTCAATCAAAATTTGTACTCATTGATGACTGAATTACCATGATCGGACCAATTAAGGCGAGCCACATCGCTCCCAACTTTTGTAGTAATTAGTGATTAAATGACAATTAAAAAACATTATTCTCTATGTAAATATAATCTAGATGGTATTGATGATCATACAAATGTAATTAAACATTCGTATTGCTTCAAATATGGACAAATTATCTGTCTTAATTAGTATCCTATCTGAGTAAACCATTGCTTTTACTCTTTACTTTTACTATTTTTAGTTTTTTCTTTCAGGGCCAACCTTTACAAAAAGTATGATACCATATAGCCCTTCTAACAATATATATATATTTTGTTTGATCGGAATCTTTAGACCAGTTTGTATATACCTCAACTAATCTCTCGAGGTCTTAAAATGAACAATTGAATAAACATTTACAAAAATTATGATACCATATAGCCATTCTAACAAAATCTTTTATTTTTTATTTTTTTGTTGATCATGGTGTTTGGACTAGCTTACGTACACCTCAATCAATCCCTCGAGACCTTGAAATGAATGACGAATAAACCCTGAGACTCTGAAATGAACGACCGGATAAATTCTTTTTAGTGATCACCCTTATCAGTACCTAAGGAGACTCGAACTTAGGTGGATCATTTTGCTCATTTACCATCAGGCTATCCGTTTCTAACAAAACCATTAAATAAAACATTTTGTTAAATATCAATTATCCAGGTCATTTAACTTAAAAGTGATTAGCTTCTGTTTATACTAATCTGATGACCTCATGCAAAACCATGCTATATTAATTTTCTTTTTCACTTATATAATAAAATAAAATAAAATAAAAAAGATGAAATTATTTGAATTGCCCTAGTCAAAGGAAGATTAATTTTGTAAGAAAGTGGGCTGGTGAGGTTTCAGGTTGATCTAAAACAAAAGTATCATGGGAGTGGGAACCCAACGAATTTTCGTCCTTTACACCTTTCTTCTTTGTAATGTTGCGATGATATTAAAGAGAGGTTGAGGTTGATGACAATTGCATGGAAGAACAATCCATTGTCTAACTTTAACACCACATCTACATTTACATGATGTTGAAGTGTGGGGGCTCTTTCTCTTTTCTTTTCTTTCTCTTCTTTCGAAAATATCATAGCATGCACAAGTGCGCCTTCCTGGCCCTACTTTATATCAACATCTTATGAGAAATTGGAACGAAGGCCCCATTCCTCCATCATTTGGTCACTTGGTTTCGTATATATTCATTCTGTTTAACTATGAAGATTGCACAAGTGTTGGGTTTATGGATTGGCTAATGCCTACCCATCAGCTTTTGATCATCAGAGCTTTCGCAATCTTCATAGTTAAACAGAATATATATATATATGATTTTCAAAACGTCTTCGTATCCACGTGTTTGCCACTTCAATCTTCATCAATACCATAGGCTTGAGATTGCTTTTATCCAGAGAAATTTTATGGAGAAACTATTGATGAATCCACTGAGATAGGTAGCGACAAGTTTGGTAGAGATTGTGAAGGTGACAAGTTTGAAAAGATTCACCCCTGGGCCTGGCACAAGGTAGATTAATTACTCTATAGCAGTCTTGACTAATTTCAAAGCCATGGCCCGCGCCACCATTTAATCTGGCTATAAAATTATAATCCTAATAATTTTTAGAACAAAGCTAATCCCCTCCAACCAACAAAAAATATATTCTTGTCGCTTTTTGGAAACCACCTGTTACATGAAGGAGATTTATATGAGCGGTTCCAAGACAATTGAATCAAATAATGCATATTTTACTTGATCAAATTTAATAAAACATAAAATTTGTATGCAATTATATATATAGCATGTCGTTTATTGAATTGGTTCTTTTATATATTTTGTATCATATGATTTTATATATCTAATAGTACTTATACATGTATATATAGGGTCTTGATAGTCAGTAATAAGGACATTTATACATAATAATTAAATGAGAGGAATAAAATGGTCAAGAGGCTACCCTTCTTAAAAGTAAATCGAGTACTTACTAGCTAATACGATAAATTAATAGGTCAAGAATTAATGGAGCCTTTATGGTCCCAATGGCCTATCTAGGAGAAGTAGAGTTTTAGTTAAGACATTGACTAATTATGAATATTGAAATTGATCACTGCTGTCTCATGGTTATTAAGAAATAGAATACCTTGGCGATTGGATGTATACTTTCTTGCATCTTGTTTTGTGTTACAAAATATAGGCATGAGCAGGTGCCCACACTAGCTTTATCATGTGGCTTATTGTCAAAGTAACTCAAATCTCATCACACAAAATCTATATGCCATGCCTCTTTCAAAGGACAGTAGTTAGTTCTGTTCATTTTGACTGGCATTGCCATTTGCAGGCCTCTCCATCTTGTCAATTGGTTAAAAGCTAATTGGGTTTCAAGTCAAGTCGAGCAAGAATATATATCCAGCTCAAGCTTCTTAAATACGATAAAACTACCGACGAAAAAATATTAAGTAATTTACATGTAGATTGCGCATTGAAGAAGGCGAGAATGACGAGTGTAATTGCTTTAAGTTTTCCTATGTCAAGACAATGTTGACTTAATGGAGATTGAATTAAAGAAAGAATGGCGGTGGGGTTTTGCTTGGAAGAGAAGGTTTGACGCATGAAATGGCCCCAAAGACTCTCTCAATATTATTCTTGCGTGAAGAGTAATTCTATCTAATTATTATTTAATAATTCTCATCTCTCACCACAACTCAACTGCTCTCAGTTTCTGCCCATTTATGTTACTCGTATTGCCCTACCTGTCCTCTTCCATTTGGGTAATGAGTCAATTGTATAATGTAGTAGTTGGTGGGTTTAAGAAGCTTCTTATTAAGATTATATTAGTCCCGGCATTATTCTTTCGCACATTGGATATGTTCAACCACCTTGTCAACGCCAAATTTTAACGTAATACAGTGAAATTAATCCTGTTATATTGAGTTAACGATTTTTTTTCCTACCCAAATAATGGTTTTACAACACTTTTTCACTCACAGACTTTTAAAATATCATTTTACTATCCAAATTTATATTTCGGCGACGAACAGAGAGAGAACTTGGTCTAAATTGTTGGGACTTCTAAAGAAAGGGGACCGGTGAGTATTTTCGTGATAGAAGATTGGATTTTGGTGGTTGGAATTTGACTTTGGAGGAATGACTGCGCAAACCCTCATCGCTGGATTATCGGCGATTGGCAGAGTAAACGAAAGTAGGGTTTGAGAGGTTTTTGTGAGTGATGATCGAGAAAGAGAATGATAATAGTGTGGGGTCGTATAAATATTAGAATCAGAAATTGAATATAAATTTGTAAGTAGAAAAGTACCATTAAACCATTATTTGAGTAATAAAAAGTTGTTTACTCTTTTATATTTGTATCATAATGTTGGATCACGGCCCCCCAAAAGTCAAGAAAATTTAAGATAGACTATGACTAAAACATTATTATTATTAAATTTACTAGTGAGATTTGGTGGTGGCTAAGGGTAAAACTATAAAGCCACGAGTAAAGGTAAAGACTAAAGATGGCGACAATGAGCTTATTAAAATCTTATAGGCTGACTACTTCAATTAGGTTAAGAGAGGGGACCATTGTTCATAATTATTAATAGATGATACGTTTATATTGATGAATAGATTTGAGTTTTGTCCTTCACAGGCCCCCACAAAGTGTGGTGATCTGTGGACTGACCACTGATCAAGCTTGGTTGGCCTAAACTTTTTGCAGTATAGTGGACTGGATCTCAAGTATGGACTGAGTTTAAAGCAACAAATATATTTTCTGTTCAATAATTTATGAAGGGTATCAAATGTTTATATCGTTGTTCTCGTTTTTGGCCTGAAAATGGAGTCATCATCATTTCATTTGCAAGAGGGGTTCAGTTTTTTTCTTTCTTGGGTCCAGTGCTGCCCTGCTACAACAACATTATTATATCATTAATGCGATATTGACGATCATGTGATGTGATGACATATAAAAATTAAACTCTGCCTTCAACTTTTTGACATTAGTTTTACAATTGCACTACAAATTCTGATCTCAAAATAAGAACAATAATTGTTAGGTTAATAGTAGATGTATATCTCCCAACCATTAGTGTAAACCAAAGTCAATGAAAAGAAGGAAAATTGGTCCCGCCCACCGGCTATTCCCCCGCTACCACTCTCAAAATAGAAGACTATTGTATAGGCATGCATGGAGGCATAAGAGGTCAACAAATAACAACACCAATGGTTTTTTTTTTTATTAAATCTTAATTAATTGGGTCCATTGGGACGTTTCCTTCCCCCAAGCCCCATCTTCTTTTTACTATTCTAACAGAAACCCGACTTTGTTTCAACAAGATTATTCAATTCCAGCTTCTAAAAGAAGAATTTCTTGCAGAAAACGAAAAAAATGCAGACATAATACAAGTACTATTCTATTAATGTACTGTCCGACCTGTGCTATAGATTTATGTGCAATGATCTCGATCGATACATTATTAAGATCATTTTCTTTTCAAACAAGAGGGAGGATTACAACTGTAAACATTAATTAAGGGAAATATATTTTTATTATATGAATAATAAGAGGAAGAAATATGGAAATAAATAGATATTAACTATAAATAAAGCATAATGTATAGAGAATAGAGGTGAATAGTTATTCTTAGTCTTGTTTAGGTATTTTTTTAATCCTTTCGCAGGGCATGTCGTGTGGTAAAATGTCTTTGTCTTTTTGTTCCTTTGCTTGCTCATCTTCTCTTGTTTCCTATTTTTCGCATGCTTAAGATAAACAAGTAAAAGGAAATTAAGTTTTCAGTCTATTAGGCCTACACTTTTGTTCCTATCTCAGAGCCTGTCGTGTGGTAAAATGTCTTTGTCTTTTTGTTCCTTTGCTTGCTCATCTTCTCTTGTTTCCTATTTTTTGCATGCTTAAGATGAACAAGTAAAAGGAGATTAAGTTTTCAGTCTATTAGGCCTACACTTTTGTTCCTATCCCAGAGCCTGTCCTGAGGTAGGATGATTGGGTTTTTATGGCCTCTTTGTACATTATTTCTCTCTCTTTTAATGCATACTACTTTCTTACCCAAAATAAAAAAGAGGTGAATAAATGTTTGTATAAATCTCTACCACCTCCACAACCACCTTGCCACGCTTAATATGATTTACTTACTCCACCTCCAGATAACACAACCTTAGATAGCCTTTGTAAAGCCATTTTCACCATCAATGCCTCTCCACCATAGATATCTAGCTATCATTAATTTGCGTTATTGACTTGTTTGTTCATTGCTTATTATTTTAAACTTTTGAAATGATAATTTATTCGACATGCATAATATATCAAAGGGATATTGTAAAGGTTTACGTTTGATTATTAATTGCAAAGTGAGACTGCTGGGCCTGTTTTAATTAAGGTCTTAATTTGCTAATTATCATTAACACACTGGATCATCATCAGCGACTATATATATGAGATCCACCTTTAATCCAACCCATTCCTATTAACAAACTAATCAAATTAGTGGGATAATCATTAATCAATATAATCAAATACAAAACACAGTTGATAATTTTCACTAAAGAAACTTAAAGGAATGTCTATGGGCAACAAGAAGCTAATCCAAAAAGCTTAATTCAACCTGAACTCTCTCTCCAACTACGATGAACAGAATTATAATATTGAAAAACTAACACGAATAAGGTGAGATAACTGAGCAATTCAAGCCCTCTCGCCAATTACGATGAACAGGATTATAATATAAAAATATATGAAAATCTTAACTAGGTTTTTGGTAGCCTTGGTTCTCCATTAACCCTATCCAGTTGATCTTCACGCCTGGATTAATTAATCTGAAGACTTATCTTATTTCGAAATTATAGTTTAATTGAAGTCTCTGAAAGGGGCAGCAAGATACACTTACTCTAGAATGATAATGCCCAAAAAACCCTAACCAGATCTCACAGCAAAGAGATATATAAACAAGATAGAACCTTTTCCCAGATAACCAATGCAATAATGAACTCCGTTTTCAGAATCATTAATTGCAAAATTATTGCCAGAAATGACACCAATATAATCAGATAAATCAGTTCATTTGTTTAGATTTCTTGATATATAAGTTACAGCACCAAATTCAAACCAATCAACAAACCGAAGTACTTATTCAGCAAGCAGTTGTTATGGTAGGTGCAATAAAGAAACAAAACTATAATCTTAATGGATTCATGAATAGATTCTCCATATATTCTTTCAAGAGAGAAATGCAGTATCGCGCGTATGAACTTTCACCCTACTGGTAGCCCGCAGTACTAAAATCCAAGAGTGTGATGGACCAAAATCCGTATTCATTTCAAAACTTGCCGGGGTGAAATTATAACATACGTAATGCTATATATATGTATCTTTCTCTATATGAGTATGTACTACGAAATGAACAACTTTACTGCCATTACTAAAATCCAAATGGAAACTACCAAGCCTTTCTAGTTTTTTGTTCTTGGCTCCATTTAAGTCTGATCTTGCATCTCCAATTCCTTATTATTTCCAGAATTTTTGGAATTCAGGGTGAATTTTTACTAAGTATAAGAGATTTGAAGCTATCAGCATTCTAATAAAAAAGCATGCATCCTTAACGAATAACATCAACAAGAAACAAAGTCTCAACAACTTATCACCAAGATAAACCACTAAAATTAAACACCCAAATTGCAACAACAAATTAATCCCCCTCTCTTCTATACCATTATACCCAACCCCTTTCCCATAAACCCCCAAGAAAAAGAAAAAAAAAGTAGAATATAAAATTAATTAGTTTCGAATGCGATCCTCATTGAGGACTGCAACATATACCTCCAGTAAACCCCCCAATCCCAATCTAATAACAAATACATTACAAAGAAAAAACCATGTCATACTTATGTACATACAAAGTAAGACCGATCGACTTACTGAACTAAAAAGTTGCACCAAGGAGCAAGCCTTTTATCTCTTCAACACTGTAGATAGATAATGATGATGGCGACAACGACACCTTGTGAGATGAAATGAAGAGGATCCGAGGTTCCTCTCAGCGCAATTACTGATTCTCAACCTTGATAATAAAACTAATAGGCTGATTTTTTGCTGCTGACATGATCTCTCCGATCCAAGCTCCTTCCATCTTATATTATGCTTCACTACTACCATGCTTTTTACCCTTTTTTTTTTTTTTTGGTTTTTGGGGATTTTTTTTTTTTTTTTTTTTGGATTTTTTTCGGAAATCAGAAGTAATGAGCCAAGCCTAAGCTACTGAAAATACCAAGATATGACTAGGTAAAAGAGGGAGGCAAATTGAAAGGAAATGACGTTTAGATTTGCTAGATCAGAGAGGTGACAGAGGACCCGATATTATTTGATGGATCGTGCCAAGCACCGACAGAAGTTGCATTCCAGTATAAAGAAGGATCTGATAACCCGATTGGCTCCATCTGATTCTGGCATGCTACATTCCAATCCATCCTGTTTTGGCCCTCTTCCGCTTTCACTTCTTTCATTGATATCCTGGCTCCACCATTGGCAGTCATTTGCAGGTCTTCTAAGGATGTTATGGAGTTGAAATGGTTGTGTGGTTGAGAGCTTTTTACTCCACCGTTGATGTACTTTTGTTGGTGAAGACTAGAAGCAAGCAAAGAAGCCATAGTCGGAGAAGTGGTGGTGACAGAAGGTGAGGAACCGAAAGTGGAATAGTTACTTGACAGAAGAGAAGTTGAAGTAACTACATCTTGGATTTGCTTAGTTGGGTTAAATCCATTTCGATAATTATTAGTACTATCAGAAGCATCACTAGACATGAGTCCAGAGGAAAACCCTAATCCAAGAGCATTCAACTGAGGCTGTAGATCATAGCCAGAAACAGTGTCTACACTTGAAACTCTTGAATTAAACCTAGAAAATGGAAGGTTCATTTCAGATGGGTTTGTGGGTAAACCGTAAAACAAAGAATGGATATGATTTGAGGTTGAAGAAATATCAATCTGGGTTTGTGTAGGAGGGTTAGGGTTTGCTGCACTAGGAGTTGAAGAAGCTCCATCAATGGAAGAAGGCCTCTTCACACGCTTGTTTTTCCTGCAACCACCACCTACAGGTACATTTCTCAGAGTTCCACCTCTTGTCCAGTAACGCTTGCAGGCTTTGCAAAAGTGTCTCGGCTGTGAAAGGCTGTAGTTGTTGTAGTAACAGAACTTGGTGTTTGAAGAATCACAGCGAGGACACTTGAGAGGTTGTTGTGGAGGTTGGTCTTGGCCTGGTTTCTCCATAAGCCTACTTGTGGATGCCATCAAGCTTTTCTCATCTATCTGATTCTGCAACCAAAGAGAAAAAAAAAAGGGGGGTGGGGGGAAGAAAAAAAGAAAGAAAGAAAGAGGTCAAGTTGGTGTTTTTAGGGTAAAATAACAACACAAAAAAAGATATTCTCATCCAAAAGCAAAGAAACAAAAATGGGGTCATGTTTTGTCTAATAATTGAGTGAGTAGTGAGAGAGAGAAAGAAAAGAACCTGTGGCCATTCGTTAGTAGTTGAAGGGATGACAACCATCTTCTCACAGTTACCCAACATTTCTTCTCTCAAAGGAATCGTTGAAACAAAGAGTAAACAGACAAAGAGCAGGTGGCGACGTGAGTCTTTCTTGATGGGGTTGAAATATCATGACAGTGAGATAGAGAGAGAAGGAAAGTGATTAGCATAACAAGAAAATTATGGCATTATTTATCTAATTTCACGTGATGGGTCTGGTCTAAAATCGAATTTGAGTAGGTAATTGTTTAATGCAACTTAAAAAAATCAAAAGAATATAAAGGACATATTCAAAATCCAAGAAGAAGACAGAGAGGTAAAGTAATCTAGAGAGGTTCAAGAAAGAACATTACATGAGACTACACACCCCGCAGCACTACGTAACATTCCTTTGTTTAGATAGAGAAGAGGGAATCCCTAGAGCCCAATACCCAATGCAAATCCCACTTCCATTTTTTCTTTTTTTAATTTCTATAATTACCCACAAATTATTTCATTTAATTACTTAATTATTAATATCCTACGCTCTAAATTTCTCCAATCCAATCTGCCTTTGATGTCACATCGTGCATTTCCAATTCAACAAAATTATTAATTAATAGGGTTTCATTTCCTTCATCTAATTATGCCTGCATTTGAATAACCAATAACAACTTAATAATCAAGCGTATATATAGTACAGGTTAAGTGCACATTTTTCGTATTTTGTGGTATATACAGTTTATACAGTTGGTTGTACAGTAACAGTACTATAAATTAACGATTCATCAAAGGGTAGTCAGTAAGTGAGGTGAGATAGTACCGAACACGTTTTTACTTTTAATGAAGTGTACATATGTGCAGAGATAATTTGAAAATTCCAAGAGGAAAAAGGACAAGAGGGCTCCATGTGGAAGTCTGGTTTACATCTCACATTCAAAAAACACAACACACACAACAAGACCAGACCATTTCCACTTTATTCTTCTCCAGTCTCTCTAGCTAATTGTGCTTAAAATTTCATTCCTCTCTCTCTTTGATGGCCATGGAACCATGTGGTGGGCAGCTCATCTCTTACGGAAAAAGAAGAAAAAAGCATCACACAGTTTGGGGAACAAACGGATTTTGTAGTCTTTCAAGGGATCTTCTCCTCTCCCTAACATCCCATCATTATTCTTCCGCAGTCTCTGATCGATCATCCTTTTGTTAATCTTATTAAATCAGTTTTTAATTTAATTTAAAATATTACTGTCTCTAATCTTTCCCTTTAACGTACTACATTAGCATGTTACAGCCAGATTAATAAAGATTGCCCTGTCAGTTCAATTTCGTAATACCCAGCAGGGAGAGGATTCTACTTGTTCCCCCCAACTTGCTTTATATACATTGGATCTTCCCAATGTGGTCAAATGAGTCAATTATTATTCTAGAGATCCAATGGTTATTATTACATCACTAACTTATTGTTTACATTATTATGTGATGTGATGGAAACTAGGGTTAGGATTCATGATCCAGTCACATAATCAGGGTTATACAGAAGAAAGGCTGAGTTGGGTTGGGCAAGATGTGACACATATGAAATGAAACCCACCCCAAGGCAATCAAAAACAAAACATAATGATGTCGTTTGCTACTAAGAAAATCTCAAATGGATTTTGAAAGGGAATAATATTGTCTTTATTAGATTGGGAAGGTGGTAGTGGGATTAGAGAATATCATATCAAGAGTATGTATAACGTGGAAAATTTAGATTTATAAGATACATTTTCATAGCCGTCTAGGGTTAAGTAATAAGAGAGGGCATATTCACACTTTTATCCTTTACCTTGTCCCATTATTCCAATAAATACAAACATTTTAGTCCAATTAAATGAATTTTTTTTTTTTTTTATGATCAAGATGTTCGAGTTAGTTTACATGTACTTTAATAGAATATTTATTATAAAAACCCTCTTGTAGGAAGTTAAGAAAATATATCAATAACACTAATGTTAATCATTTTGATAAGACTAAAGTACACAAACCCTAAATCTGAAGGATGAAAGTGTAAATATCTTATAAATATAAAAAAAGTGGTGATAATCTAATGGAGATGGAAATGGGTCCTACCCACCCAACACTAGTCACAATTCCACCACAACTGACAAGAGATTCCAAATTGGCAAACATGAAAGAAACCCAACACGCACGATAAAGGGAACCCTGTGTTTCAAGACTTAAATTTTTTTTTTTTTCTTGACAAAGAAAATTGGGACCAATCAAAGCATGAAGCATCAAATCCCAACCCAACTGTGCCCACTAAACTCTCATCACATTGCACCCTAAACAATGTCCAGACAAAGATCTCTCTCCCAATTTCTATTGCTTTCTCAACAGTTGAGCCTCAGCCACTTATTTTCCCCACACCACCACCCCCTTTTCTTCATTGGAAAATGACCTTCCTCCTAGCAAATCATAGCGTTTCTCTCCTTTCTCTTTGAAGAGACAAGGGCAAGTTGGTTTTTTTGTTTTTTTGGTTTAAGTAAGTGCTCTTCTTTGAAACTTGAGGTGATCAATGTTTAGAAAGTTCAAGAGATAGAAGAATGTGAATGGATGGAATGGATTGTTAATTCACATTCAAAAATATCGAACCCCATTTGGTGATGTATCTATCATGTACCATCCTGTACTTACTATTTTTATTATATATTGATCGATGATGATAACTGTTTAAAAGCTAAAACTCATTTATTAGGTCAAGTGAAACAAAACACTACATGGTTCTGCCATGCAGACTCCTGACCTTTTATATTATTGGAAGAGTTCTACGGTTTCACCATAAGATTTTTCGCCCATTACTAAAATATTTTCTGTAAACAAACCACACAAAATGATAAGTATTAAGCTTATATATAATTAAAATGGGCCATATAGAAATGACAGTAAAGAGATGAAGAAGAGTCAAACCTGGGAACTTGACCCTAAGTAGCAGGAACAAGCATGGAAAATTCCAGTGAGCTTCTGTTCATACAAAGTCTTTAATTAGATCAGAATCCACTCACTTAATCACAGTCTCTTATAATATATAATGTTTTAGTTTTAGATATGGTTTCAATTAGCTTTGGACTGTTGCATATGGAAGTTTCAAGTGCCGCCGGTACTGTGGGGTCTTCAGAATGTTGTGGGGGACAATTCTTCTTTTATTTATAATATATTTCACACACACCAATTACGGTAGGGTTCAATCTGTGATCTAAATTGATGTTGAGACTCCCCAGTTGTCTCTAATTAGTAATTAATTAATTAAATTATAATAAAGTAATGGGAGTGAGCCTTAGTAATAAAAAGGGTGGGTGGTCGTCATACCTTAACAAGCTGTCAACATTTGATAATTTAGATTAGTTTAATACAACTAGTATTGATTAATTATAAAATATCATGTCTTCATCATTATGTTAAGAATGAACAGACTTTTTTTATCCAAATAATGGCTTAATGACACTTTCCGACCTATAAATTTTTAAAATATTATTTTATTATCCAAATTTATATTTTGACGATAAAAAAAGAGCAGATTTTGTCCAGACTGTTTGGGATTTTGAAGAGCAAAGGACGATGAATCTTTTGATGGTGGAATGTTAGATTTTGGTCATTGGAATTGATCGGAATTTGACTTAGAAGAGGTTACTGCGCAAACCTTAATCGTTCGATTGCTGGTGATTGACGAGGTCGATGGAAATAGAGTTTGAAGAGTTTTAGTGAGTGATGATCAGGGAAGAAAATGGTGGTGATATGGGATCGTAAAGATGCCAAAATTGGAAATGGAATACAAATTTGGATTGTAAAATTATATTTTAAAATTTTATAGGTAGGAAAGTGTTATTAAGTTATTATTTGTGTGAGAAAAAGTAGTTTATTGTTATGTTAATCTTGTATGTCCATTTTTCTCCACGGTGATTAAATTGCATGATCACCTAAAAGGCTAAAAGTATCATTTTCAGTGGACTTTAATCAATTATTCTTATAATCTATGCTTTAAATTTACTGGTCCACACACCTCTTAATCTCTATGCTTTTGTTTTAATTAGTTCAAGAATCGAGCACAATTAAATTATTTTGGGCTTCTAAAATTTAACTTATATATATATAAAGGGCACGCATGAAATTAAAGTGACAAGTGGAATTTGGGTAGGCCTAGATGGGAGACTTTGGGTTGGGTCATTGGTGAATGCAGGCTTGAGATGTTGGGTCATTGGTAAAATTGCTCGAATGTTCTGTCTTTATAGCACCGTCCATACGGGAAGTGACTTTTACGTTTTAGCCACCATCTTTTTTTTTTTTTTTTGACAATTTTAACATTAAAAAATATTAAAAATGAATTTTTTTTTTAATACAGTCATATTCTATTTTTATATTTTTCGTTAATTCTTAATTATAAACCTTAACTCAAAATCTTCTAAATCAATGAAACATTTTTTTTTTTATTTCAAATATTTCTTTGTTTGATGGAAATATATCACTAAAATTATGGAGAAAATAATCACACAACGGGATGAATCTGAATACGAAATAAGATTCAAATTTGAAATTGGAAAAAAGGGATATAAATAAAAAAAATTAATTAAGAAATTGAGGGAAAATAGTGTAAATAAAAGCCATAATTAAATTGAAATTGGAGAAAAGATATGTAAATAAAAACCCTAATTAATTAAGGTTATTTTTAGTGTTAAATAAAATTTAAAGTGACTTTTTTAAAATACAGAAAAGATGTGTTCAGCGATTGAGCCTGTTGATCAATTTGACGGACCGTAAAAATTAACTCCCCTTCATACTTGATCGGCTGGCCCAAAAATTAGTTTCGTCCACTTGATGATAAGTCTTTGCATCATTAATTAGACGCTCTTCTTCTCGCGCTACAATAACAACACAAGTAGGTTGCCAGGTACGTAGATTTTATAGTTACAACTATCACAAACCTTCCTAAATTAAAAAAAGACGTCCTGACTGTGTTGGTTTATTATTTTGAATAATATTTTTGAAAAAATTGAGTTAGATTGTTATTACGAAGTAAGATTTAAAAATTAATAAAATATCTCATAGGTTTATTAATTTAGATAAACACTCTATATAATAAAATATTAAAAATTAACAAAAATGCTCCAACTTATTCATCAAATGTCGGTAGTTGGTCACTACCGTTGGAGGGTCGTTAAAAGTCGTCATTGCGTAGATCTGACTGAAAAATGCTAGATCGGTGTACAACCGGCTAGATCTAACCGGTTGTACATCATTACGGTGACTTTTGGCCACCCTCTTACGGTGGTGGTTGATTGCTGGCATTTAATGGGTGGGTGTGAATGTTTTTGTTAGTTTTTAATGTTTTATTATAAGGGGTGTTTAACTAAATTAATAAATCTAAAAGGTTTAAAATAGTTGAATAGAATAGGATTAGATTTTGATGATAAGGAAATAAATATGTATTTTGGATAGAATATGAATAAGATAAGGAAAAATGAAAAAGAAAAGGCAGAGCGTTTTAGAGCCCTAAACCATTGATGTAGAATGCCTCTGTTTTTATTATTTATAATTATCATTATTAAGGAAATGATATTTAGTCCTCGTTTTCTATTTTATGTATGGTTATAATCATAATAGAACATTTATTTCTTTCTTCTATATTTTAATTTCAAAACTTTAAGTTCTCATATCCTTCTAAATCTAAAGCAGTTGTTTAGTTTTTTTCTTCTTTTCTTTTATAAGTTTTGTATTTTGTACAACTATTACGAAAAACATTTTTAAATTGAAAACTAATCATATGACCAGAAAATTATTAAAGCTTGAATCAAATAAGGTATTATGTTAGTTATAAGTTGGAGTGTTTTTAGAGTGAATAGGTACACAGTCTCATATGCGATTCCTTATTTGCATATCCGCAATTCAAGTGAGAGGTCATGACGATAGATTGCTGTTTTAATCTCCTCCAATAATTACTTGAGATATGTATAAATTGGCTTAGACACTTTAGTTAAAAAAAAAAAAATAATAAATAAATAAACTGATCTGGATCCTTTGGTTACAAAATAAAAAAAATTAAAAAAAAAAAGCGTTTTTAGAGTTGACAACTTAATAGAAACACAAGCAGAGGCGGAGTTAGGGGATGGGTCTCCTGACTGCAACCTGAGTCAAGTTTGGGAAAATAACTTTTATATTTCTTTTTTTAAGTTTGAAAAAATATTATTGTATGAGCTAATTTTAAAGTCTTTTAAAATAATATCTCTTACTTCTGATTCTCAATACTTTTTTTTTCTTCTATTATTTAACACATCTCTTCTTTTATTTTATAAATTCTTTGTTGTGCGAGAATGTTTGGACAACTCAGAGCAAGCAATAACTTAGAGTGAGCTTTAGCTCAGAGTAATTTGTGAGACGATGATCAAATGGAGGCGGGCTACAGTTGGCGAGCTACCTGGTAGTTATCCTCCAGACAATGAATGAGCTTTATCTCCTTAGACAAATGTTATCCCTTAAAATCAAGGAGAATATCATGGGATTGACTACTTATAATTTCGGCATGATAACTACATCAAAGATCATGAGATTAACTTTCCAAAATCAACTCTTTATCCTGAATATCACTCTTATAACCGTTATCAACTCAGGAGTATATAAACCCCATCAAAATCATTGTAAAAGGGGTTAGCAATTTTAGATAGAGAGAGAGAGAGAGAGCTTATTCTTGTAATCAAACACTTTAATAAGATAACAACGGACCTAGGCTTGAAGTTTAGCTCGCCAAACCACTTTAAAAGTTTTATTTGCATTCAGTAGCTTTATCTCCTTAGACATGCGTTATCCCCTAACACTACAACAAAATTTTTATTTAGGGACGAATTCAGTTTTGTCCCACAATGGTCACTAGAGGACAAAATTATAATTTCGTCAAAAAATGCTTAACACTCGATTTCCAACCCACGCCAACAATTGATTTTCTTGGCCAAATGAAGGGAATGGTGAAATAATATGGAAGGAAATCATTTTGGGACGAAAATTATTATTTTTGGATGAAATTTTTTGTAGCTAAGAACCTTTTTGTTTTTGGGGACAAAATTTTGTCTCTAATTGTACAAAATTTGGAAAACTTATTAGGGATGAAATTTGATTTTATCCTCGATTATGAAAAATACATTTTTAGGGACGAAATTTGGAAAACTAATTAGGGAGGAAATATTATTAATTCTAGATAAATATAAAAACACCCAATTTCTTTTCTATTTCATTTGAAACAAAACTCTGATTTGCTTGCTGGTGAATCTCGATCTCCTGCCCTAAAATTGATTGAAACCCAAGATAAAAAATTGAAAATTAAGTACAGGTGGCGAATAAGGATCGACTGAAAATGGCAGGAAGGCGTGGTGGGTGTCTTTGAGGATCTCGATATGCTCTAAACGAGCCATCGTTTTACTCTTTCTCTTCAGTTCATTTTTTGCTTCAACTTTATAACTGAATCAGGTTTCTTATTTAGTTGCTTGTTTTCTGGGGTTCTTATTTTGGCCAAACTGATTTCGCAGGATTTGCTTCCTTCTTTAATTGATTGTTTACGGAAATATTGAACTAGTTCAATTTTCAACTTCTTACTTTCTTTTCTCCATTAATTTTTCTAGGGGATTTTGAGTTTTTGTCTTGGTTCTTGGGTTTTTCTTTGTTTATTAAGTTCTTGTTTAACGGAGTGGTTTTATTTTAATTGTTTAAAACTTAAATAATTCATTTATATATGTTGTTTTCTACAGGATTTTAAAAAATCTGTAGCTGCTAGGTAATGTATAGTTTTTACTATCGAATTTATAAATCCAAATTTGTAAATTATACATTCTCATTTTTGTTAAAAAATATTGTTAGAACTCGGAAGCAAGCGGAAGAGGATGTTCATGACATACATTGTTCAAGAGAAAGGAGCAGGGCGGCATGGAAAATTATTGAGCAGATTGCACAATGTGTACAATTTGTTAGATATAAGATGCGAATTTCTTGGTTTTATTGTTCATATCAAAGAGCATGATTTGACATGACCTATCGTGACCCTCCCTATCCCATAGACTACCAAAGAGCATGATTTGACATGACCTATCCTGACCCTTCCTATCCCTATCCCATAGGCTCCAGTCTCACCTATGAGACTCTGGTGACCGAGACGTGCTATGTGGAAAAACTATGAAACATGTTTATGAATTAAAACATCATAAAACTCTTCTAGCTAAAAAAATTTATAGACACTCCTTCTTATTTCTCACAAATAAATATAACATCATTTGTAAATAAACAAATGCAATTGAATTTTTACAAAATGAAACGTATAGTTTCACATTTTTCCATATCTTTTATAATCTAAAACATGAAATAAATACATGATGAAGAAACATAAACTTTGCAACGGAAAATAAAACACAACTATGACACATATGATGAAATGAAGTCGTATGGCTCAATCTTGAATGAGATTCACTCATTTGCACGATCTCCTTCTTGACCTGATGGGGGGAAAAGAAAAACATTTAAAAAGCGAGGGGTGAGCTATAATGGAGAATAGGTTAGTATACAATATAACATTTTAATATACAATAAAACATTTATGTTTATAAAATCTCATTTCTATAAGCACATTTTATAATATAAGCTATCTTTCATAACCAATGCTGAAATCTCTCATTGTAAAACTTTTTTCTAAAAACTTTTATAGTAAACAAATCAATACTCATGTTTTTCTAAAAATATCATTTAAAAAAAAAAAAAAACATTCCATATACAAATAACATTTGCAAATATAAATTTCCATTTTAAATACATGATATACATATATATATCCAAACCATCTCTCAATCATATGTGAAACTCTCACCCATCTAGTACCCAAGGGTAAATCCGTCTAACCCAGCAAGATCTAACATCGCGCAGGTTGAATCATTAAATCCATCCTGCTAGGCGGAATCAATCACTGCTTAAGCCTTCGACCCAGCAAGATCATGCATCGCATGAGCCGGCACAATCAAATCCTATCTAGCGATATCTATCTCACTCGGACTTTCGACCCACTTGGACTAGCAAAATCAAATCATATGTAGTGAAATCTACCTCACTCGAGCCTTCGACCCATGGACCGACAAAATCATGTCTAGTGATATCTGCCTCGCTCGGGCCTTCGACCCACTTGGGCCGACAAATGACCAATCATACACGTGTAGAATTAAATCAACATTATGAGGGGGATGGGTACTATAAATGATAGTTTGAGAACTACTATCATCAATATACATACCTTTAACTCATCACTTTTCATAAATCTCATGCCTTTATTCATAAAGAAAGCATTTAACATAACATTAAATTCTCATGTGCAATATAAGGCTAAAATGTAAGTTTTCAACATGATTTCATAATAACACTTTAGCCCAATTTTTTGTATTATCAACAACAATTTTCCAAAAGAAACTTCAATTTCTCATGTAAACCAATAACATTAACAATGAATCATATTTATATAAAGAAAATCACTTAATTATGGCAAATAGTAAACCAAAACAACTCATTTGAAGTTTGTAACAAACATTTATTTCAAAATGAAAGTTAGGGTTTGGATTTTCCACTCACTATTTTGGAGCTTAACCCTTAAGCCAAAAAAAGATTGAAATCCTCTAACGATGCCCTCGCTTGCCTCCCTATATACAAAATCCAATAAACTCTTCATACATAAGTCCCGTAAGGTAAACCTCAATATTAAAATCATTGAACACTTCACATACCAAAAGATTAACATAACTTCTTCTTTAACAAAACTGTCTCATAACCGAACATTGGTCACTCTCGGATTTTTTTCGTGAAAATTCCATTCATCAATTTAAGCCATAATTTTAATGAGACATTTTAGAGACACACAAGTTGCTCTCATAATTTTCTCAAGTCATTCTAGAATCAATAACTATTTAAAACACAATTTTTTTTCAACTCACTCAAAACTGTCAACTATTTCCAGAATTGAGGTTATTGACTTGTAAAATTCGTAAAAATTTAACCTTTAATCAAAACCTCACAAAACTCTCAAAAATTAAACTAGGCACATATAGGATTTACCAGAATTTAAAATTATTCAATTTGGATAAGAATGGAAGCACCAAATCATTTTCCAAAAATACATGTTCTGCAGAAAACGAAAATTCCAGAATTCACAAGGTAATTTCAAAAATCCATATAAAATTCAATTCTTCGAGTTTTTGAGTGAAATAAATTTTAAAACACTCCTAAAGAAGTCTACAACAAATATCTGAAATTCAACTTAAAAAAAAAAACCCAAAACATATAAACAATTTTCTGAATTTCTAGCTAGATTTTTATACAGTGAACCCTTATATGAAAATCACATCTTTAACCAAATTTTATTTAGGAAACACATTTATGTTCCACCCACATAAAATTATTGAGCTCAATCTTCCCATTTTAATGTAATCTCATGCTATTACACTCAATTATAACCAACACAAATCAAATGATCTAAAACTCATCAAAGAGAGAAATTTTAAGCTTTACTCACCTCCCATATGCTTGATCTTTCTCCATTCTTTCCGATCACAGGAGTTTTATTCACCAGTGGCCACTTTTCCAGCCACCTTCATCGTTCTCTACTCCTCTCTCTCTACGTTCTCTCCCTTCTTCCTTTCTTTCTTCTTTCTCTCTTTTCTTTTCTCCATTTTCTCTCTTTTCTTTCTTCTCTTCTTTTTCTCTTCTCTTTCTTCTTCTCCCCGTCGTTCCCTTCTTCTCCCTTTTTCTTTTCTTTGATTAATCACTGTTCACAAAATATCTAGCAAAATTTCTTTAGTCCTCACTTGTTTCAGTTATTACTTTATCCCCTTAAAACTTTCAAAATCTAACACTTTAACCCCCAAAATCACAAAATAAAATTTAATAAAATTCTATACGAAAAATACGGGGTATTACATGATTGCTACTTGATGTTTGGTGTAGTATTTGATGCACTTTGTGGAGAAAGAATGCTATCAGATTTCGACTAGGTGTAGACTTCACCCTGATAAGGATTTGTTTAGAGATCAGGCACATCATAAATTCCATGTAGATATAAATGAACTGCTTTTGGAATTGTTATCTTGGGTTTGAAAATGAAGATGGATTTTGGTTAGAATTTATGATTTTGTGTTTTTGGGGTTTGAATTGACAAAGGTTGCTATTGTGATAGTGTTCATTTTATTTGTTTTTCTATAACCTGTGCTTTTGATATTTGGGTATTGACTTGATCATTAAATTGGTGGTTCTTATATTCGCTGCTTGTGGGTTTGCATCGAGGCTATGAGATTGGGGGTTTATGCTACATGCTAATTGTGAGTGATAAACAAGTCCATGAAATAAGTCCTAATTTTTCAATACAATATAATTATTCTTTATTCTTTATTCATTTTTTTGTTTTTGTTTTTGTTTTTTATCTTGCAGGTTTGAGTGAAAAAATATTATTTGCTAGAATTACTTGCATTATTCAAGGTATTTTCCAATTAAATTTGTGCAAGATTAGTGTCTTTTCCTATTGAGTTTGGAATTCTGGCTTGAATTGGAACTTTACTATTGTGTTTATAGTTAGAGTAACTTTATTTGATTAATGTAAAATTTTGATTTAGTTTAGTATTTAAAAAATGGAATTATAATTTATCTCATTATAAATGGTTTCTTTAATTCATAGGCTGCAACCCAACCCATCCAACCCAATTACTAAATACACCCAACCCAACCCAACCCAATATATTTACTAAATATACTTAATATTAAAAAAAAAATTACTAAATACACCCAACCCAACCCAATAGGTTCTAAAGTTTTCAATGAGTTTACAAACAAATAATATTATTTATGCATTGAATGAAATAATTTGATCATTGAAAATTAACATATCTTCCATACAGTAATTATAGCAATTATAATTCCATAGTGACCCTTAGTGATGGTTTGACTTCCATTTCACATACTCGACTTTTTCAATTCTGTCCGACGACTCTTTAGCTCTCATGACCCATTCTAGCGGCTGTCAACCTCTTTTAGTCTTTGGTTAGGTGAGTTTTTTAATCTTTATTTTTTATACTTGTTTGTCTCTAAATTTAGTTGAGGTGATCGTGTTAAATTTAGTTGATGTGATTATTTTGGTAAGTGGTTATATTTTTGTCACCTTATAGTTATTAAATCATGGATTGGACTTGGATGAAGGGAAAAAAATGGTTGAAAAGATATGTGGAAGGAGTAAGATATTTTTTGAAATTTGTGGAGAACAACTTAGGTGGGGAATGTGATATTAAATGTCCATGTGCAGATTGTCTAAATTTGTACATCCAAAGGCAAAATGTTGTTTGCGATCACCTACTTATTCGAGGGATAGATACCGACTACACTAGATGAATCTATCATGGTAAGCACTCTAATTTTGATATTGGTTCTCCTTCTCATCCTAATGGTTGTGATGGTCAGGACTATCATGAAACACTTAATAATGAGAGAGAGGATGATGAGATCTAGGAGATACAGGTGGGAAAATCCGGTTAACCGAACCAGATAGTGTTATTTATAAACATAATCGGTTTTTTGATTCAAGTAAAAACCTGAACCGAAACCAAATCGGTTATATGACTAAACCGGTTTTAAACCGAACCTAATATTTGGTTCGGTTCACCGGTTAACCAGATTTAAACCGGTTTTTTTTTTTAAATCACCTCTTTAACTCACAAGCCTCCCAACAAACATCCGTCAATTTATCAAAGTAAAACCTTCTTTCAAAGCATAAGTTTAATCAACAACAACTCAACCATCAAATTAATTAATCAATCTAACCCACTATAACTCAAACAAACAGAATGGGGGAGAGAAGTGAATTTTGTTTTTTTGCATCAAAGTTGAGTGCCCATTTGGGGATTAGCTGCCTATAGTATGAGGTGTCTTTTGAAGTTTATACGGTGTCAAAGTGTGGAGGATCAGTCTAGAGAAGTGGGCTTGGCTCAAAAGAAAAGGAAGAGAAGATAAGATGAAAAAGTGTGGAGGATGAGTCTGGAGAAGTGAGCTTGGCTCAAAAGAAAAGGAAGAGAAGATGAGATGGAAAGGAAAGAGAGAAATGAAGGAGAAGAGATGGAGAAAAAGATGAAAAACAAAGTGAAAAGTGAAGAAGAAGAAATGGACGAGGAAAAGATGAAAAAGGGAGAGAAAAGTGGAGGAGAAGAAGGGGAAGTGAAAGAGAAAAGCGGCGGTGACTCAAGTTAGAAGTTTAGTATGATTATAGTTATGTTTTTTGATTTTGTTTTTTTTTGTAAATCAGTTTTAAAATCTGGTTTCGGTTAACCGGTTTAAAAAAAACGAATGAACCGAACCGAATAATCGATTTATGAATTTTTCCAAACTGAATTGGTTTTCAAAAAAACTGAACTTTCGGTTCGGTTTCGATCAGATTTTCCGATTCGGTTTGGTTTCTAGACTTTTTACCCACCCCTACTAGAAGATGTTAAATGACTTTGAGAATTTGAGAGATCATTGTTTTGGAAGTATTGGTCCTCGTGACCATGTTCATAGTGAGGCAGCAAGGCATTCATATACGGGTTTTGAAAAGTTTTTGAGGGAAGCTTAACAAGAGTTGTATCCAAGTTGTTCAAATTTCACAACATTGTCATTCATAGTAAAGTTGCTTCATTTGAAGGTGTATAACAAATGGAGCAACAAATAATTTGACATGTTGCTTGATTTACTTAAACAAGTAAAACCAATTGGTGAGAAACTTCCAAAATCTTATTACGAAGCAAAAAACATGTTGCGTGATTTGGGTTTAGGATATATCTCTATACATGCATGCAAGTATGATTGTGCCTTATTTTGGAAAGATTATGAGTGTCATGAATATTTTCCTAAGTGTGGTCCTTCTAGATGGAAAATAGATGATGGGAAAAGCAAGAAAATTCCTCATAAAATTTTGCGATACTTCCCCTTAAAGTCGAGGCTTCAAAGGTTATTTATGCCAAGAAAAACAAATATAGAAATGAGGTGGCATAAAGATGGAAGAGTAGATGATGGAATTTTGAGACATCCAACTAATTCTCAGGTATTGAAAGATTTAGATAGGGTTTTGCCATGGTTTGCACAAGACTCTCAAAATGTACGTCTTAGCCTAGCAACTGAAGGATTCAATCCATTTGGAGATATGAGTAACTCTTATAGCATGTGGCCAGTTATTCTCATGCCATATAACCTACCACCTTGGAGATGTATGAAAGAAAATTTCCTCATGATGTCATTGTTAATTCCATGGTCTCATGCTCCAAAGAGAGACTTTGATGTGTATATGCATACCTCTTGTGGATGAATTAAAAGAATTATGGGATATTGGTGTAGATACATATGATGCATCTAGTGGATAGATTTTTTAGATGCATGCTACTATTTTGTAGTCGATACATAATTTTCCCGCTTATGGTACTATGTCTAGATGGATGACAAAAGGATACATGGTATGTCCGATTTGTAATGAGGACACATTTTCCCAAAAATTAAGAAGTAAAATCTGTTATATGGGACATCGTCAATTTTTACCAAAAAATAATAGTTGGTGAAATATTAAGAAGTTTAATGGTAAAATAGAATGGCGATTAGCACCCAAAGAGCTATCCGAAGACGATGTGTTGCACCAACTAGAGAATTTGAGAGGGGACCCTTTTAGAAAACACCCAAATTACAAAAAGAGAAAGCGCTTAAATAAAGAGTTAAATTGGACAAAAAAACGTGTTATTTTTTAATTGTCTTATTGGCATACTACAAAGTTGAGGCATAACTTAAATGTTATGCACATTGAGAAAAATATATGTGACAATATCTTAGGCACATTGTTGAGCATGGATGAGAAAAATAAAGACACAAGCAAGACAAGATTTGGAGGACATGAATATTAGAAGGGAGCTACATTTAGTGAAAAATAGTAATGGGAGTTGTACATTTCTATTTTTTTTTTTTCATTATCAAAGAGAAAGAAGCAAGAATTTTGTGAATTCTTAAAATCGGTGAAGTTTCTAGATGGGTATGCTTCTTCTATCTCTATGTGTGTAAATGTGAACGATGGAAAAGTATCAAGACTCAAAAGCCATGATTGTCATGTCCTTTTACAAAGGTTACTCCCTATTGGCATTCGGGGATGCTTACGAAAGGATATCTCTTCTACCTTAGCCGGGTTGAGAGAGTTTTATAAACAACTATGTTGTAAGACATTAAAGGTAGAGGAACTTAAGAAGCTACAAGGAGATATCATTTCAATACTTTGTAAACTTGAAATGATTTTTCCACCAGCATTCTTTGGTGTAATGGTCTATCTAGCTATTCATCTACCATCAAAGGCCATTCTTGGAGGTCTAGTCCAATTTAGATGGATGTTTTGTATTGAGTGGTAAGATACTATAATTATAAGTTCTCTACATTTTTCAATAGATTAAATTGTAACAATTCATTTTTAACTCTTAATAGGTTTTTGGGACGTCTTAAGAAATATGTTCAAAATAGAGCGTGTCTAGAGGGTTCAATTGTTGAGGCATACATTGCCAATGAATGCTTGACATTTTGTTCAATGAATTTGAGCGACATTGAAACCCAATTCAGTAGAGAAAATAGAAACAATGATATTACGAAGGATGATGGATTATCAGTTTTTTCGCACAAGTTGAGACTGATTAGAGCAGGAAAATATGTTGACATGGAGAAGGAGATTGATATGTGTCA